AAGATCGCGAAAAACTTTTTCGACGAATTGTTCAGTTGTTTTAGGCGAATTCCATCATGTCTGCTTCTAAGATCCATTAGAAATAGTTTCCTAACGTTCCTCCAATCCTATTAATACCATAAAGAACAGATTTTATGAGTCTAGGACTGAAATCAAGAGCGCGGAACAACAATCACCAAAACGTTGTATTTCCTCCGCTATGATTTAATGTTGATATGGTGTATTGTAAGCTGAGTTATTGGCTTTTGAGGTGCCAAACGAATCTCTTATCATCAGATCCATGACAGGTGAACTTCGGTCCATCAAAATACAGGACCTTTTGCCATTTTCCTGATGCCCGAGATTCGTATTTCATAGAGAACGCGAATTAGTTGAAAAGGTTGTGTTTCAAAATCAATGTATTTCTTCTTTGTCGCTCTTGATTTCAGTCCTAGACTCATAAAATATGTTCTTTATGGTATTAATAGGATTGGAGGAACGTTAGGAAACTATTTCTAATGGATCTTAGAAGCAGACATGACGGAATTCGCCTAAAACAACTGAACAATTCGTCGAAAAAGTTTTTCGCGATCTTATCCGCGACACTTTTTCCGCGAAATCAAAGTTTTTTCGCGGTCAATTTCGCTCCAAACTCTCTTTCTGGAATAAGAGGTCCTTCTGGTTATTCCCCTTATTAAATGTCCTTTGTTGCGCAGCCGAAAAACCTCCGTATGATCCTCCAGAGTCATGGACTGTATACGCCCCATAACTTGATATTCACTTACTCAAATTTTTATATCAAACAGTTCCAAAGTCGAGATAATAAATGAAAATCGTAAGGACAATTATCCCGAAGACACCCCGGATACATTTAAACCATATTAAGAACAAAAAACATACTTAAGTGGCAAAAAATTCTAATGTTACTCAGGTGGCTCTATTTAATTTGGAGAGCCGTTTATGCATAGGTTCGGTTTTAGTGTCACGAACGGATCAAGTATTAAGCCGAATGTTTTCAAACTTGGCATGATAATTACTCATTAATGAGGGAAGATTGGTAGAAAATTTCAGATCTCTAGCTTCACGTGAAAATTCGCGGCACACCGATATGTCTCAGGGCCTTGGGTGGCTCTATTTAATTTGGAGTCACTGTATGTCCAAAGTGCGCCTCTTGGGATGCTTTATTTTTTATTATTGTGATATTGTGAGTTTGGAGGGGGGAGAAAAAGCTCTGGCATATTAATGGAAAAATGAGTGCCATTGGAATGGGACATAAAGTCATTATTAATTCCAATTGTTCCATTGCGCGCTCTTTTACAAGACTTTTTGTTACTGCACTGAGCGATGCTGTAATATCCTTGTCCCAGAAATTGTGCATAAATCTATCAAGAAATATAAAGTGACTATTGAGCGCCTTGTGGGTAAAGCTGAAAGTGTGTGTGGGTGACATTTGGATCATGACTCTCGTGAGCTGTGGAGATGGTGAAGAAGTTTTCATGAGACATGACTCGCCGATGTGCCATTGTTGCTCGCGAGGAGCGCGCGGAAGAAGGGCACGGACAACAATGGCATTCGGATATCCATTAAAAATCTCTTCATCCTCCTTTGTTTTCCATCAGACAACTTCTTAATTCACATTTTGAAGAATTGCCAATAACTTCTCCGCACACAATATCATACAAATATTCTTCTCCGCCTCCCGAAAATGTTACACAACAAGAGCGACAGAAATTGCTGCAAATTTTTATTACATGTTGATAAATGGGACGCTATGAGATGGAAATGGGCGAATTATGGACTTTTTGAGAATGTAAGCCATGTAATAGAAATCTCATGAATGGATAGTTTATCGCTCGTTCCGGAGACATTTTTGCAATTTATTCTTCACCCCCCCTTCGAAATACGCCGTGTTTTGCTCACATTTTTCCATCCACACATTTTTCCAAAGACATTTTCAGTTCAGAGACATTTCGTTGGGCTTTGAAAAAAGAAGGGAGAATTTGCAGCAATTCTGCATGATGAAATTCGCCTGATTTTCAATTAATCTGCTTTATTTCAACTGATGTAACCCAATAAAATAATTTAATCAGCGACAAGTATTTACATTTCATTGGAAATTGCCGTAAACAAATCAATTGAAAGCCACTTTAGTGCAGTGATAAATTATTTTGCAGTACTTGTATTTGGTGAATTTTTGCAAAGCCACAGATTTTATTAATTAAATTCAAATTATGGCTATTAAAATATTCAATATGAAGGAGTTTTTTTTTCGAATTGAAAATGTCATCAAATTGAGTATCATTTAATTGAGTTTTTGCCTCAAAAAAAACTGAATATAATTTGGGTGATAACGCAATTTTGCAATGTAAGCAAATCGACTCGTTTTGTGCACGGCAAATTGGAGCATCTCTGAGTTGGAGTATGGAAATTTTTTCCGCCGATATCTTGCGCCGATCGACAGACACAACATCAACCAGACGGCGTCATTTCCTGACTTTTCACTGCGCGGAAAAACGTGTGAATTTGGACCAATGATCTGCTGGTGTGCTTTTGCGAGCAAGGTCAGTGATTTGAGCCAAGAGGAGTTGCTAAGCAGACGAGGAGTGATCGAGTGAAAAGTGACTAGTCAATTTTCCCAATACTGTGCCAAATGAGAAGGTGAAAATATGGGCAGGTGGTCCCATAAAGTGCGTCCATCTCGCCCGCAAAAATAAACACTTCTGCCGTGATGAGTGTTCTCAAGCGGACGCCCGAGCGCAAAGATATAAATTGTGAAATGCGAGGGGCCAAGAACGGCGCTCGGTGGCGATCAAGGGGGAGATAATATGCCTTAAACACTTCAAACTGTGTCTAACACTTTGGGAACATGAAATTTGTGAACATAAAAACGATTCTCTCAAGTTTTCATCCGATATTTCTAGATGAAGCGACTTTGAATCGCTTTTTAGGGGGTATTTATCCGATCATAACCTCAAAATATAACTTTGAGATCTTCAAAAACTATGTTTGGAAGCTTTTTAGATCACAAAATCATCTGTTATAAATTGCCAATGAACTCAAAATTATCCAGAATATTTTTCAAGTTCGAATGACTATTTTTGAGGTTATGTTCAATATTAGTACTATTTTCAGTGTTTCTTGACAACGAATAAATATGACATCGATTCACGGTCTCTCCCGATTTGAGTATAAGAATTGACGTGCTAGAATGCGAATTATTCGCTAAATATGTCTGTGATTCGGTACATAACCTAGAAAAAAGACTATTACGCTTGTTTCTGCGTGAAAATGGAAGGAAACCCATAGAACCTGGATGATTTGTCACTAGAAGAAGCATTCAGGAAAGGAATATTGTAGGTTTTTCAATTCTCCCACTTTTTAAGCACTTCTGCTGAGCTGTACACCACTTTTGACCGCATTATTTCCCCCTTGGTGGCGATATTGCGGAAGGTTATTGCTAAACGCTGGCTTCTGCGCCACCCCCGGCACTGATCAGGGAATCTCCGGTGACAGTTGAGATACAGAGAACAGACTCTGAGAAGGTGTGTTCTGGCTCAATCACGGATCCACTCTCTGGACACATGATTGCGCACAAATTGCAACAACGCGCCACTTATATTCTCTCGCCTCCGAATCCGCCCCGCCGTGCCACTGAGCCGCCCCGCGTGAGTCACTCTATTTGACTAAAATATTTTTCCATTTGTGCGCTCTTGAGAATAACCACATAGTGAACGATGTATTTTTAGTATATTGGCAAATATTGGAGGATGAATCTCTTAAAGTTGCTACTTGTTCCAGAAGGAACTGAAAATTTACTTTTCTTGCATTATTTAGAGATCAGACGTCTATTTGCCAACCACACAATTGCCACACCATTTGCTCTCTCTAATTCATGTAGCAACTTTTTTTTTGCCTTCCTCCTTCTGCCACACAGCCTTAATTGTGTGTACCCGATATGCTTTGCGTTTGTTTGTAAATTTATATTCTCAGCAGGGTGGAAAAATCCATATAGTATGAAAAATCAAATTCTCACCACAAGGAGAATCTCTTCGCCAAGTGTTATAGTTGTGCTAATCCTTAACATTTCTCGTCTCAACCTTCACACAAGGTGGTTTGGAAGGATTAAGAAAGTCTCTAATCAGGACATAAGATCTGTTAAGCCTCAGCTTAAAAGGGATGAATGTGTTAATCTTTCAATTTATAGTCCAAAAAGTGTTACAGAATTTTTAAATAATACTTCTGAGTCTATAATTAAGTCGTTAAGGGACTTTTCAGTGCCCTAAAGTGCTAATTTCACTGTATATAAGTTAAAATCGACAGTCTAAGGACTAATTAGTCCATATCAGTCCTATTTTCCCTCTAAAATTATACTTAATTCGTATTAGATAAGTGTCACAAAGTGGAATAACTCCCTAAGATACACTAAACGATATGAAAATCTTCAATTTTTCCACTATTTGAGAGCGGAAACTTTTAAATTTCGCCGTTGGAGCAATTGACTGTGCCATTGGTGAGTTCTATCATAAAACTCCTTCAGAGCTAATTGCTTAATTCAATGGATTGTCGTGCATTTAGCCCAGAAAGGTCGCACAATATCCATTAGAGAGACAGTAAAATTCAGTGACTGTGAATAAGTGGCAAAGTGATGGAGACGCAAAATTGATGATCTGCGCATTGTGCAGCGAGGAGGAGCCGAAAAAAAAGTCCAATAAAGAGGAAATTGAAGGCAAAGAAGGAGCACGATCGCGAAAAATGAGTGATTTATCGACAAGAGCCACATATATACAGCTCACATGAGCGAGATGAAAGATCATCGAACATCGAAGTGTAGCACAATTGTATGAGCTCAAATATAATTAACAATCTAAGGTCACTTCGCATGCGATCATGTGTGTGAGACGAAGAAAATGAATAATTTATTAGAATATCTGGATGGTTTTTTTCTCTCCTCCTCCTCCTCCTCCTCCTCCTTTTACACTCTACAGGCCTATGCTAGTGCGACTGCCATTCGGAATACATACGTGGAATTGTGGTTGTGCCTTTTTTCAATTTCCTCAATAATTCGCCGCTGCTGAGTGGTGCTCTGAGGAAAATTGTCGTCGTCAGCGGACATCTAAATTTATTTTATATATTTGTGTCTCTCTTCCTTGCTCGATCACACTCTTGATCTCGACACGCCGACCGGACTCGTCGGCTCTGTGATCGAAGGTGTTCTTGCGCTGATGGCCTGGCACGATCGTGTGGATCTAATAGACTTTGTGTCGATCTTTTTGCTATTTTTGAATCATACAATTCCACGTTTTATCAACACACACACGCACACACACACTCGTGTCACTTCTCTCCCCACAGACAAGATATTAAAAAGAGAGCATTTAACCAAGTATAAAGAATATAGCGTTCGGTTAAAATAAAAAATGCGAGAGAAATTATTTTTAGATGAAAGAATTGCCTCTTCACGGTGCTATTTTCGATGATGTATTTCAATATTTTTCGCCTTTTGCAGCTCCCTTTGGCGATTATCAACTCTGCCGTTGCAGTTGATTTACTGTCTTATTTCCTCGATGTCACCGGCATACAATGAACTAGCCATATAAACAATTAACACACAACATTTCAACACTTGATGCAATAACAACATTATTATTGCCCTCGCTTCTGACTCACAAACATCAATTCTCTCTCTCTCTTTCTTGCTCTCTTGCTCTTTTTCACAACTTTTCGCCACCCATTCAGCTGTTATTCCCGTGCACTTGGCAGGATTTACACACTAGATCGTCACTTGCGATTTTCTCTAAGATTATCACCCGCGGAAATCGACGATAGCGGAGCACGGCGCGCTCGTGATCTATCTCAAGTGCCAGAGATCACAAACTCCACTGATCTTTTCGGAAATTTACTTCCTCAGGGGAATTATCTCTGTGTCATGTGAAATATTCACAGGCACATTTATCAATTTGCTCGGCTCTCGCAGCTTCTCTGCGCGCTGCTTGCCAACTTTTTGTGCTGCCTTCAAGATCGCTGCGCGATCATGTCGATCGTGCAATCGACTATTGGCAAAAGTCTCTTCGTCGTTTGTGTTTTCCACCGAACTGGAGAAAATTATGTTTTCATTCCCCGCCGCGGAGATGCGAAAATGTCTTTATCGTCGTTGACTTCTGGGGGCGACCCAGAGATTCCGGGCGCACTCACTCACAAACACTGCGGGCGCGCGCGCTTCCTCAGTCTCGCCACACTCGCCACGGACTTGGCCAAAAATCGCTCTGGGGTCAGAATCGACAGAGCCGATGGAGATTCACGAGATGGGCGCAAACAAACACGCGAACAAGCCGTCACACATCGCCTGGGGCTCTCGGGAGGCCAATGCTGACTGGACGACAGTCGGACTGAAACTGTCTCTGGTGAACTCCAAGACGCGCTGCGAAGCCAGTCACCAGCGAACAGGGCTCAACTGCTCGCACAGCACACAGAGACACGAGCTTTTCACACTGCCAGCCAGATACCCACATGCGGCCGCCTCGCTCGCGCGCACTCGCCGTCTCGCTCGCGCCGCCGGGCGGGCCTCCCGCCACCCCCGGGGTGGCTGTGACTCACGCAGTCACCCCCGTGAAACTCTAGCCAATGGCGTGCCCACGCAGTCGTGGGCCCCGGCTGAGCACCACTCCAGGCCGGAGATAATCTCCGCGCTGGGGAATTGTGTGCATACGCCGACTTTCGTCACTGATTCGCCCTGAGCGCGAAAAAAAGCCAAACCACACGCAAATCTGCCCGAGTGATGTAATAAGTGCAGAGAAATGTGACGATAAGATTAGGCAAGAGCTTCTCAAATTGTGCCGATGACTGGGTGAAAAATACTCGGAATTGTGCGCGATCTTCGTGGAATTCGCAAAAGAGGTTTTCCTGTAAAAAAAAAATCACTAATCCAATTTGCTCAGCATATCGAATGTGTCATGCGAAATTTTCTGCAAATCCAAACTATTGCACTGAACGGAGGAAAAAGTTGATGCTTTTGGAGTTATGCCAATTCAATCATAAGTGTGATATAAACACACTTTCACGGACAAATATGTGAAAAGAGATATTGTAATATGCCAGTTGCATGATTAGTCAATATATTCTTGAATTCACTTATCATTCATCGGCAGAAACGGCAGAAACGGCAGAAACAATGAGAAAAGCACAAGGGGAAGAGAATGTGTCCTTAATTTGTACAACAGTTGAAACTTTAGACTGTTTCCAGCACTAATTCTCACCTTATCACAAATCTCTTAACTTTCCACGCGATATTTCTGTAAAAATCCACTTAAAGAGGCTTTTTTGGGCAACTTTTTCGACCATAATTTTGAAATATCAACTCAAAATCATCCAGACAACTTTCTAAATCATAATTTTCCAAGTTTAAATGATTATTTTTGAGGTTATGTTTGACTTTACCACAATTTTAAGTGTTTGTTTGCATTAAAGCTTCAGATTATTAATGTCTATTGCATCCAAATGCTAAATTCTATCAAAAATTAACGATCTTTCGACTTCAGTATAAAAAATTCTGTCCTTATTTCGTTACATAACCTAGAAAAGGATTATTCTTAAAGTTTCTTCTTTGGTTTCTGTGTCAAAAATCAGAGGGAATCCAAAGAAACAGGATAATTTGGCGGTTAAGAAAGCAAACTGATCTGTACACCACTTATGACTATTTTCATTTCCCCTTGGGAAAACATGATTTTTAAAACATATAAAATTACTGTGATTAGTTTATGCTTCTGCAGTTTATCTCTGGAAGGAATTAACAAACATTTTCGTGTCCATAAACATTGGCTTCTTGGAAGTACTTAACACACTACGTGATAAATGACATTTTTCTGCAGAAATCCTTGTTATTCAATCACTGATCAATAATTATTGATATATTGGTCCATTTCTATGAATTTCACTCTCGCCATGGTTGCAGTTCGTGCTCGGATGGCGAATGTAAGAAGACGCAAATGGGCAGTCAAAATCAATACAAGTGGAAAAGCCTGAGCCTTCGGACAATTAAGAGGCTCTCTCTCTGGCATGCATTAGTGTGGCAAAAGGGTTTCATCTCTTCGGCGTTGTGGGAAGCCATTAGCTCTCGCCTAAGAGACTCACAATTTGCAAAAACTCTGCAGACTTTTATGACTGGCAAGAGGTCTTCCAAGTCCTTGGGCGAGAAAATTTTACGCATTCCACATGTACTTTTGTCTTTTCCCATGAGGGACTTTTTTTTTTGCTCAACCATGTCGACCAATGCAATTGCGGAGGAATTCCACAACTGCCTTTGCACTGGGTGGGATAATCATGTGCTTTAGCCTTCGACTTCGCACTCTCTCTCTGTCTCTCTGGCAGTGTTGGGAGTGTGTGGCAAACAGATTGTTTCACCAACTGGCCCATGGAAGAGCGTTTGGTGACCACGGCGACTCTTTAAACTCGTTTATCTCGATGGAGAGGCGAATATATTGGAAATTATGGTATTTTGGCATCTCTCGTGATTTCAATTTCAAAATATCACGACCACATTCTCGAGACAAGGTGGCTGCCTTAATTGACTCTCTGGCCAAGCGCGCACGGCATAAATTTTTGAAGTGAAAGAGCGGGAGAGTGAGAAACCGTTTTCCCAGCCGATCGCGGAGCCGGAAAATTGTCGTCTGGCGGGGAAGCAATGACCGAAATCTCTCTCGCGCGCGCGGATGTTGCGGGATGGCGAGTGTCACACACAACAACAGGTGTCTCACCGTCGCGAAACGTCTCATGAGGTCGCCCTGGTGTTGATATGAAATTGGTGGGTTTCGTTTTTCATATGCAAATCGCCACAGATGAGACGCCGCATTCCATCGAGGAATGCTGGCGTGACCATAAAAGACTCGTCTTACACTCCACTGCACTATTAAAATCCATCTCATTGTCATCCCGCCGGCCTGGAGCGCACTTCCTCATGCCTGCACAGCCTTCCAAAGCCACCGCGCGTCTCGAGGACAGGGAGGAGCTCTCTTGGCACCGCCGAGGAGTCCCAGAGAGTGAGAGCATCTTGGATCGATTTTGGACTTGAGGCAAGTCCTTGATTGTCTCTCCTATGCATCTGAGACACTCTGAATTCCTCGCAATCGGGCCACTTTGCAGTTGAGAATATGTATTTGCCATCCAAATTGCTTAAACACATAAATCTCGAAGGAATTTCCGTTGCACGATGCATATTAATAGAACTAAGAAGTTGATTTTAACCATTATTTGCCACCTTGATAAGGAGATGTGAAAGCATGTAGAATATTTAAATTGGCAAAACTTATTCAAACATTGAATGTCTATTTTTAGATGTTCGGCGTTGTTCAAAAACATTTTCAATATCTCCATTTTTTTTCTTCTTCACCACGTTTTCAATAAAACAACAGATATATACACACAGAGAGAATGGCAACGAAAATAGAGAAAGAAGTCTATGGAGAGTAGGGAACAGAAAAAAAGTCGGTCTTCTAACTGATAAGTATAGGAAATATTTTGAGAATCTGTTTATGGCTACAAAAGACAGTGAATATACAACTTCTTAGAAAAATGTGCAAAAACCACAGTGGTAAAAATATATATTGGACTAGATAACAGAAAACCACAAGTGGTTTATATTGTCAACAACAGTCCACTATATGATCTTGTTCTGTGATCCGTTGAGCACTCATAACGCAGCGCATTCTAATTAATATCTCCAATGGCACTCTGAAGACCCACGAATACTCTATATTGGCCAGCAAGGGGAAAATCACTCGCCATTTCAGACCAGTAACTTCGTGATTATTCAATTATTTTGCGATTTTTCCCAAATTTTTTCAAATTTTGATTATTTCTCCACAAATTGCCGCTAGAGGGCAGCAGTTTTAAGGCATGTAGAAGAAGAAATGAAATTTGCAAAGCAGATTAATTAAAATATTTGCTATATATTCAACATATAAAACAATTTATTAACTATATTAAAATGTAGAATATCTTAAAGAGCAATAAATTCATCAAGAACAGCACAAAAGGGAGAAAAAGTCACAAAATTTGTCACAAGCTGAAAAGGAACTCCTGAAAAATAGGAATTGCGACATAAACGCAATCGGAACTTTTGCATGCCTTTATTAACTCTTTAACCACTGCAAAATGTGGAGAGAATAATTAAATATATAAAGATATTTATATATAATTTGAATCATTATTTTTCTTGCAATTTTACTTGGAAAATAATCATTTTTAAAGTTATTTTTCCTCAATTTTTATTTTTTCCATACAAAGAAAAAAAATCAATATTTAAACACTTGATTGAGACCATTAGGATGGCCTAAAAATCGACTAGTGACTTTCCCCTTGATGGCAAACGAATGGAGACAATTTGCACGGGCAGAATTCGCAGCGCTGCTCCTCCCAGAGGATCCTTGGGCGTTCGATCTCACAGGTGGTCGCTGGGCTGAGAAGGAGATGTGATCAGGCGAGATGAGGGGACGCGTGAGAGTGTTCGGCGGGAGCAAAGAGGCCCTCTTGAAGGAGAAACACAATAAAAATCATGACTTGTGTAATTAAGAGATAATTTATGTGGAGATTTTTTCTCCTGTCTCTCCTTCTCTGCCTTTGTTTCTCTCGGCCTGCGGCATTTGCCGAAAAGCAACAACAACAGCAGCAGCGAAAAAAAAGAGAGCGAGACAGGAGAGGAAAACACACGGCCGAAGAAGGGTCAGAAAGAGACCCGCGGAGATTGTCGGGGAAGAAAGTGGAAATAAAAAAGAGAATTGTGGAAGGAAAAAACAAATTCACCACGTAATTTCCATCCGCCACAGAATGACCAAAAGTGAGGGAGAGAAGGGAGAGAATCAACAACAGACCCATTATATTTCATAGTTAGGAAGATTGTCGAGACCACCCGTAAAAGTGGCCCCTCCTCCTCCTCCGCCGCCGCGGCGGACCGGCGAGGAGAGCGCGCAGAGGAAGAAGATTACAGCACCAGACAAATTTATCTCCCTCGGTGCGCGCCTCCATTCTTGAAACAATGGCCCTCCGCCGGGGAGGCACGAGAGGGCCAAACGGAGCCTCCATCATCGAGACATCACGACTCAATAACATCGTCATTGCACTGCCAAGAGGCTCGCCAGGGACTCAACAACTGCCGCATACGCCGGAGACTCTGTGAACTCGTGACTCTTGCTCTGCATCTCATTACCAATCCACTCGGGCGGCCCAATTGCCCTCCAATTGGCCACCCTTTCGGCGCTCGTTGAGTCTCTAGATTTATTGGGCGGCTGCTCATGACGTCCCGAGTTAGGAATTTAGCCTGTGATGACTCTGGCAAGAAGCTCAACTGGCCACGATTCAAGTGCAGAGAAAACTAAACTAGAAAATTGCAATTTTTAGAAGAGCAATTTGAAAATTTAGCGTTTATTTCTGTGCAAATTTTGAGGAATTTCAACTCAAACACCTGATAATGTTAATTATTATTTATTAATAATTATTAATTAAATATTTTTTGGAATCTTGACTAATATTGGTGTCCAAAAGTCAATTATGAACAGATTTTGAGGAACATTTTATCCCAAAAAGTTATAAGAAATCAATTTTTAATACTATTCATTAATTTTTTTCAAAATTCTCTATTGAAGAAATGAAGTCTTTTAGGGACAAGTATTTATAAAAATCTTGGAAATCTAAAATTGAAAAGTTGATCTTTCACTGTTTTCAATTCACCGGTCGAAATGCTTGCAAAGCATGGATTTTTATGGACTCTAATAGACTTCAAATGGCCAATTTTACACACTCTCCATCTCAGAGTGCTTAAGATTACGCGTTCCAATCGAGATCACGAGGAATCATACATTATTTAATCCACACAAAGTGACAAAACGTGTGGATGTCATTTATATGAAATTTGAAAACTATCAAATAATAATCAGCCGGATGTATAAATTAAACGAAAATTCCTCGAATATTAAAGGCAATAAGCGCGATACCTGCTGGAATTTTTCATATCAGAATTCAATATTGAAAAATTAGCCGAAAATGAAGATGGTCTTTTATGGAAAACCGTCCACTTATAAAGACATTAGCGTGTTGGGATGTGCGGCAGAGCGAGAGGCAGCCGAGAATTCTCCCCAGATAAGTCATTTATCTCCACCGTGGAGGAACTCTTAAAAGCCATCCCAAGACGCGATCGGCCGCTTTTGGCGTGACTGCGCGCGGTCAAATTCAGACACCGCATCATCAGCGTTGTGGGAGGCGATCGCCGGGGCCAATAAATTAGCTCTCTGGCAATGTGAAATTGAAGACACTCTCTCGCTCCAAATATTGCCAATTCATATTGATTTACTGTGTCCCCGCGTCTGGGACGCTCGCGCGATCGCGCCCCAGACTATCTGGCCGGCCAATCGGCAGCGGCGGAGCCGCTAAGTGTCTCTTTTTGCCGCAATGGTTGTTTGGTCTATCGGAGATGGGATTTTTTTCCAGCCTCCGCGCGATGCCGCGGAGGAGCACTTCCACGGCGAAGTGGCATCGAGAGGCGTCTGGGGAGAGATCTCGTGAGTGAGATCATCGCGTCTGCGGAGCCTTGAACTCCGCCCGTTCATTCGCACCACCGCGGGAAAATTATCTCACCAGTGGCACAAGTTCAGCGCACGAGTTCATTGTTCCACCGGAAATGCACACACAGCTCAATTTGTCCGGATTAAACAGCACAAATCTAAGGCCACTTAATCATCTCCTCACCTGCCATCCGCCGTGGGGCCACAGAGACTTCCAACTGAGCCGCGGCGCTATCGCCAGGATCTCAGAGAGCTGAATGAATATTCACGAAACTATTTGGTCGTTGCAACTTTACGCATTTCGTATTTCACTTCGTAAAAATTACCAATTTGGTGTTGCAACTTTATGTGCCCTTCATAACTTATATTGGCGGCCACCTGGAGGCGCTAGTGGGAAGTTCTAATGGATTATCCGACATTTAACGTGTTTCCGGTGGGATTCTTAAAGGGTTTTGCTGACCAGAATGTCCAGGAAGATGTCTTTGTTGTGACATTTCAGAACAGTCGCCTTATCGTGCATCTCACCACAAGAAAACTGCACTTGAAAATATTTTGGGAAAGAAATCAATCTCCTTGGAAAGGGTCGAAAGATCTCCAGAAACACATAACCTCAATCTGGCACATTGAAATTTTCACAAATAGCCAGAAAAATCCAATAAATATGTGTTTATCTACAGAAAAAAGCATCATTATTGCCTATTTCTTTATAAATTCTTCGCTTTCATAAATGTCATGAATCGTTGCGAATTCATATTTTTTACAGTTCCTTTAAAATGTCATAAACGTAATGTTGCAACGACGCTTAGATTTATTGTTGTGAAATTATTCCCAGTCGAGGTGAAGATGAAACACTGAAATTTTTCCCTGAATTCCAGTCACTTTTCGTGACATAATTGCGCTGATAGTTGACACCATTGATTTCAGCATGACTCAGACTCGGCGTTACGTTGCAATTTCAGCCAATTTCACCACTGAAACAGATAATTTCCAGAAAAACACACGCTTTTTTAATTACTTCTCTCTTGTATTTTAACCTCTTCTTGCCTGCAATCTTAAAAACCTATCTTCAATTAACCATCAGTTCTTACAACTGATTTATGGTTCTCTAAATTAAGGGTTGATGGATTATTAGACGGAAATTAATGATCTATTATTATGTCATGAGAGTCTGTATAAAAAATGATAGTTCACTGAAAGAATCTATACACTTATAAATAAATATTTGCAACTTAACATAGGATGTTTTTTCTCTCTCTTTCATTTCTCATTTTTAAGCATTTCCATGTCAATTTTACAAGGTTAATAATTATAATGTACATAGAATTACAAAAAGAATCTATTACAGTTAATTTTCTTGTTTTTATTATTATTGTTTCCGGTAAAATTCTCTACATCTTTTCCACCGTGATAAGCGTTTAAGAAAGAAGTCTCTTATTAGTGAAATGAGAAAATTTCAACTGTCTCCTTTGCACTCAAAAAGGTACATTTTCACATTGTGAATATAAGTAAAATTAACGAAATACAGCACACATAAAGTATTCATTCTACAACATTTTCTTCATCCTTACTTTATTTATGAGTGCCACATTTCTCACTGTTTTTTTCTTCTCCTAAAACTTCATCCATTTCTATACATACACGCGCATTTCATCGCCCTTTCTTTCTCTCTCTCTCTACTCTACATGATTTAACAATTATACTCAATCTCGCTGAAATTCTATTCATATTGTTCTATAGATTAAAAACCCCCTTGAAAATGGAGGAAATAAAAAGGAATTCACTGGATATTTTACACATTTAAAACAGACAAAAAAAAAGAAACGGCAATTTAATGAACAAAAAAGGAGTGAGAATTTTAAAAATCAGAAGCAACAATCTGACAATTTACATTACAAATTTCTCATTTCTCACGCAAAATCATCAAAATGTCCTTTTCCAGCACAAAATATGCCTCAAATTGGTGGCTCAAGTCACTCTCAGTGGCCGTTGTTTGCTTATTTAGACTGCAAAAACATGAAATATTTAGTCGTTATGTTTGCGCAAAAAACTACCAAAAATATTACAGTGAAACATGAACTGAAATAAGCCAAACACACAATATTGTGAAATTACTCAATGAAACAAGCAAACAACTAAAATAGACACACAAATTCATCTTTTAACTCTGTTTTTTTTTGCACCACTCAAAAGGGAAGACAAGAAAAATAAACCGACGCAATTGGCCAAAAACATATCAAGACTTTTGAGGGAGAGATAAAAAGAAATCAAAAGAATCCCAATTTGTCTCGCATTGTCTCAATTGTCTTCACCAATTTCTGCTCAAGTTCTTTATCTCTAACGCCCACTCACACTTTATCAACAAGAAGAGGTTCTCCTCAATCCGCGATAATGGCAATTTCATAAGATTACAGGGGAAAATGAAATACAGAAGCACATTGTCTCAGCTGACTTTGTATCACAAAGCAAAAGTAGGTGAAAAAAAAACCGCCTGCATTCATGCTGCTTGGAAATTGTGACTGTTATATACGTTAAGGGGGAGATAATATGCCTTAAACCACTTCCTTAGCTTTTGTGCAGAATCTTCAACACCTCAGACACTTCTGAACGCCTTTAAAGACATCTTTTCATCGCTTTTTAGAATGCTTCAACTGTTTCTCACACTCAATTCTAATTTTTATCACAATCTGATCGAAGTTTTTCTGTCTCAAGATGTTTAAGCTCTTCAAGTGCTTAGATTTAAGATTGCATGAACTGATCTTAATATCCTCACAATTTGTTCATGAATAATTTCTGTCTTGATTTCATAGTTTTACCTTTGGTAAATGCTCAGAAAAACCAGCTTTAAAACCTTCTTGGACTAACTTAAATCCTTTCAAACGTGGAAATGAGTAAATATAGCGAATATCACGATGTTTCTACTGGATAATAACTGAGAAAAGAGACATTCTTCTATGGTAAAATGACATTTTTGAGGTTATGTTTGACTTTAAAACTGTTTTTCACTTCCAAAATTTAACCAATCTGAAGTTTTTCCAACAAAAATGCTCAACTGTGCTCGGAAAAAGAGAAATATTCCCAGTTCAAATATAATTTTGAATATTTTGAGGGCTATTTGAGTACCAAAATCTGTCTTAAATCAATCACATAACCTAGAAAAGCAGCCTCAATCTGTCCCTTGATTTTATACCAGAAAGTTCAAATTTAAGAAAGGATAATCCCAGAATAAAACTCTTAATGCGGTGTCTTGAGTCAGATTTTCAGATTTTCTGGTCTATTAGCCGAAAAAATATTGTATAAATACCAAAAAAGCCAACATGTTGACAATAAAATCATTAGAGAATGAAGTAGAAAATGGCTTAAATTGCGCCTTTGAACGCATTACAAGTATTAATTACTCCAACTTTTGCCACACACAGTTTCGGATCATAAACAATGGCACTGATAAAGCGCGTGATAGACTAAACCGTAAAGAATCACATGCGGAGAATTGAAAAATGTGCCAGTTTGTAAACAAAGAGAGGGCCAAAAAGTGGAAAGAACTTTCCTCCGCGTGACAGAGTGCAAGTGGAATTTGTGAAATTGTGTCTATCAATTAATTTTTCCACTCTGCGATCAATTGCCAAAAAAGCGCGCGCAAGTGTTGATTGATGGAAGAGCTTGGAAAAATATGTGTCACACATGAGAGAGAGAGAGATTCTCTCCTTTATCATATCAGAACAGCTCATATTGCAGCGCCAACACTCGTCAAATGTTAGATTGGTATCAATTAAAACGTGAATCATGGCGCGGAGTGTTTGTCTTGGACTCACGCTTCTTCTCCCGGTCGCGCATCACGTCTCGAGCGGAAGTTTGTGAGCTGTTCAGCTTGTCACGCACAGTCGAACTGGAGATAAGCGCTCATCAAATACTGAGCATAAGTTCGATATAAGTGGCCCAAATTGGCACATTTCAAAGTTCAACTTATCAGTTGACGTCACACACCGGCGACTGATTGAGTGAGTCGACGCTTTTCCCGAAAAACCAATGTGCAATTCCCGCAAAGCGATCCGCAACTCTCTGCATTCCTGCGTCGTGATATCAGAGATTTTCGGGGGATTTTCAGCGGATCTAATCGAGAATTTGTGTATTGGACGCGAGAATGCAATCACATGTCATCGATAAATCGCACCACGAGAATTGTGTCAGCGCAAAAAAAGTGAAGATACAAGCATTATCAGACATTCCTTCGCTCTATTGTTTCACCTCTATTTTCACCACAATCGCGCGCTCTCGCTGGACAGCGCAAAAAGCGCCGAGAGATGATCCTCTCCAGGTAATGATCACATCATCGTTCCCCGAAATTAACCGGCTCTTTTTTTCGCCCTGGCGCAGGAAATCTTTCCGCCTGATTTATTAACGAGCCCCAATAATGCCATCACGAACTGACAGCACCTCGGCCGGACCCCCCTGTTCGCCATTAGTTTCCCGACATCAAATTAATTTGTCAGAATTCCACAGCGATGATTCCACACACACACGCTCTGCAAATTGATTTGCTCCATCGTACAAGTCCCACAATCAATTTTCTTGGAGAAGTCAGAAGGAGACCAAATTGTGAAATAGATAGACATCGTGGAGGCTAAACAAAGAAACTCGCCATCTCATTGTGGCGCAACGATAAGTGGAATTTTTGGACAATGCGATAAAAAGAATCACTGCAAAAACTCTCTGCTGGGGAATATCTTGCGGAATTTCTACACTTTTTTTCTCCCCGAATACAAGAGGAAATGTCTTCAAAAGTGCTCAATTTTTATCAAGATCAGGAAAAGCTTCCTAAAGTTCTTTATCTGATTCTTTGATATTTCCCTATTTCTCAGTATTATTTGCATTTTTTGCTTTACAAACTTGACAAATGGATGCAATTCTCACTACAACTAAGGAATGTTAAGGATGATTTATAATAGTTAAAAACAATTTTTAAAATCCTGTATCAAACATAAAGGCCGCAAAATAGCAATTGTGTTAAAAAATTCACCACTTGTGGAAAAAAGATATATTAAATCCTGTGGAACAGTTTTCAGTCAGATGTAATAAATGTGTTATATTGGTTTAACACACGATTTTACTATTCTGAGTCACACATGTAATTTTGTATCGCCTGAATGTGTAATTTTAACCCGACCTTTAGAGACTGTTTTAAATAATGTGTAAAAAGCAAAAACAAATTACAATCTGCAAATATCTTGCAAAAATGGATCAATCTGCAATTGTGGCTCTAATTTTCAAGCATTAACTTGAAAGATATTTGCAGTAAATTCTTTTTATCACTAAATCACTACTTATAAACTTAAAATCCAAGGTCTTTGGTAAGTTTGACCATTTCCCACACACTGTTTTAGCGAGAATAGCCAGAACTGATGTTCGTTATTCATTTGGAATGCTGAACTTAACATGTTTGAAGTCTAACATTTTTCGGTTTTAGCAGGAATCGAGCCAAGATTCTATAAAATTGTAAATGTTCAAGGCTCACAAATCTTTTCCAAATGCTCCAAAGTGGAGTAGAACTGATATCTGAGGAACAATTTGGGTCACAGAAGATCACGAAAACGACGTACGCAGTTTCTGTTGTCTGTCTGCTAAGAAATGTACTTAAAATCGGTTCTAAACAATCTGTTAAAGCCAGTATATTTATTTTAAATAAATCAGTACTTAAGATGTGCACCGAAAAATTGATTGATTTGCAAAGACACAAAATTTTGCCAGACACAATTCTTTTTTGTGCAGAATTACCTGCAAAAATTCCACGGGAAAATTCCACAATGTAGACAGAAAAACATAATTAATTCAATCAGAAGGAATTTTTATATGCAAAAACAATCAATAAACAAAAGAGAGGATAATCTGTCGATGTGGCGCTTAATTATATTGTTGGCTTTTGAGCATTTTTCACACATCGCGCGTCCATCGTATTAATCGAGCACATTATTTAATATGAAAATGTTGGACATTAATATTCATATATTCCTTTTTCAATTGATTTTGTTGACAAATTCAGGCGCAAAATCAATCTTGGAGCTTGAGAAAAACGCTCCTCTTAATTATTATTATTAAAATTAATCACAATTTAATGCAAATCCAACTCCTCAACTTTTCTGCTTTGGCTCGCGCATTAATTGATGAGGAGGAGATTAATGAATGCACTGAAAGTTGATCCCAAGGAGTACTTATGTGCACTAATTGCAGTACAACTTCTGGGCTAGTGCGTAATTTATGGTCATGAGAGGAGAATTCTTTGCTGCAAAGACAGGCGTTGATTTACTATTGAATCTCTCGGACATTTGTGTGTCTTTTTATAGGGAATTGCGTCAAGGAGACACATTTCTTTTCTTCAGTGCACATCGAAGGTCAATAAACATTTTACAATCACCGGCATAATTTGGGCTTTATCGGTCACACAACTCATCCCAATCAATCATGAGGGGGAGAAAAAACAAGAGATAGCTGCAAATTCTCGAGGCATGACAAAAGTCCCTGGAAATGGATTCTCGCTCAAGTGCACTTCTTGTGTGGAAAAATTCTCTCTCTGTGTCTCAGATTTTTACCACCTTTTCTCACACTGACAATTGCGCGGCGTCTTATCGTGTGCGCGGCTCAACCTACGTCACGCATTCGCCAAACATGATCGCGGCAGAAAGCAAAATCGCGTCTCTGTTATCGAGAGGGCGAGTGTGAGAAAAAAAAATCGTGGCGTGCAAGAAGATGAACAGCGCGCGCCCAGTTTGCACAGTGACTACGCGCAAAGTGTGACGTCGCGCCCTCAGAGCATTATTATTTTCGTGTGTGTAAAGAGAGTGAAAAAAAATAGAGTCACACTTTAATGGCAAATTCACGTCACAAATTATTTGCATGTCGCGATGAATAATAAATTGTGTCGACGGGCAAATAAATGTGTTGCAAATCGTTTGGCGGCAGAAGCCTCAACCATGTGCGCGCAATTAAGCAAACAAATGCCGGATCGACACACAGCCAGATGGAATGGCAGAAGAGAAGAGGTGTTTGAGGAAGAAATTAACAAATTTGCAGACAGCGAAATGTGGAACACACCCACGATCGTGGACTCAAGGGGAAGATAGTGTGCCGCAAATCAGTACACTTCCACTTCCTGACACTTCCCAGAACTTCAAACTTCATCGATCGTTTATAAAAAGACTAAAATCAAGTGATAACTGGAAAATAACCGAAATCTAACTCAAATTTAACTCAAATCTAACTCAAATCTAACCGAAAACTAACTGACAATTTTAAAATTCGCGTTTTCATATATTTTATAATTTTCTTCCGTTAAAATTGCACTTTTGAGTATTTTTCCTGATTTTAATCCTTCAATTAATTTTCTTTATTATTTCAAAATCGCAACAGTTTATTAAAAAATGAGGTTATGTTTCAGTTAAGCATTTTTTTCTCTAAAATTACGATTTTCCTTGAGTAAAAACGAGCAATTCTACTAATAAAGTAGAAAGACTTTCAGTTTATGTGCTAGAATTTCTACTTTAAGACGTTATTTAGCTCCTAAATCAGAAACATAACCTACAAAAATATAGTAAAATTAGAAATTGAATAGAAATTAATTTCTGAGAGTAAAATAATCAAGAGGAAATCAAAGCTGTGAACCAAATATCACACTTCATCAAACTCTGTACGCCACTTCTGGCCGTATTATCTCCCCCTTGCGTAGACTGGAGAAGCACATCGCGATGCCAGTCACAAATTGGCCACAGAGGAGGGAATTTGTCACACAGATGCTGACGCAAGTAATTCAGGTGTTCCTCATCATCATCATCATCATGCACCCCCCAAAGCCCATGTGACATCAAAGGCCGCGCGCGGCAGAACAACGCCAAGAGTGTTGTCATAACAATATTTGAGCGGGAGACGGAATTGACAGAGACAAGGAGGTCGAATATTGCATAAATTCACAATTGCACAATCCAATATCATGTACAAGAAGGCATTCCGACTGTCATGCAGCTGAGAAGAAACCACGGCGCATCTATTAGAAGGGAATTCATAATGTCGTCAAATCGGAGAGTTCATCATCAGCTCGCGCGGTTCATTGAAAGACTCTTTCATTGTTGAGTAATAAAAAGCGCAGCTTCAGGCATTCAAGCCATGAATAATTTAGAAGGTCTACAAAATAGCTTGATTAGCTCAAAAACATGGGAAGCGAACAGAGTTGTTGCCCAGCTTTGGCGATTAAGAAAGGGGATTTAGAGCGTCTGAGATTTAGAGAGATTAATTGAAAATCTTGGATGAATATCAATTTTTCATACCCTTCACAATTATAAAAGGTAAACATCAATTTATTGTTTCATTCTTCTTCTTCACCACCTTCAAAAGCCTTCAAAATCATATCCTAACAGAGACAAATTCGATTCTTTTGATTAATTAAAAATATCTATTTTTTTTAGCGTGGAAAGCAAACAGAAAAATCCTTTCTTTTTCTCCTTTTTCTTCTTGTTCTAAAAACCTCAGCAACGCAAGAGGGCCAAGCAATTAGAATGTGTGTTTGCGTCCACCAACCTGGGAATGATGAGGATTTTGCGATTGCTGCTGCGCCTGCTGCTGCTGAGCCTGACCAGAGCCACCGGCTGAGCCACTCGCCGCCACTTCCACGATGCTGCCGGCGCCACTGGTGGACTGCGTGACAATCTGCGGCGCCTGCTGCACCGCCAGTGCCACCAGCGAGCCCCCCGAGGACGTCTGCAGGCGCACCGGACTCACGTTCTGTCGCTGGTTCTGCTGATTCTGGAATGCTGTGAGGAGCGCTTGCTGCTGCTGAGCTTGCGTGGCTCCAGCCGCCGCGGCCACCTTGATGGCCCCCTGAAGAGTGCCCGTGAGATTCCCCGGCGTCACGTGAGTGCGCAGCGTCTGAGCGCCCGGAGGAGCTGTCACCACCTGCGAAGCCACACACACACACAGGATTAGAATCATCCGGAAGCCAATTCTCACCCCCTCAAAACTCACCTGAATAGTTTGCCGATTGTTGGGCTGCGACGCCATCGAGACGGGAATCACCCGACTCTTGCTGAGCACAATCCCTTGCTGGCCCTGCCTGAACAGCTGTTGCATCGTCACGGGCAGTCCTTTGGGATTCTGCACAATCAGCTGCGTCTGAACACCCGCCTTGCCCGCCACTTGCGTGATCTGCGCCACCTTCGGCTTCCTCTGTGGCGTGATCGCAATCTGCTGCTGAATCTGCACCGGCCGCGTCTGTCCAGGACTCGCGATTGCCGTCGCCTTCAGCTGATTGGGCTTCACCTGCGAGAACGTCATGCCCGGCGCTGCCGCGGCCACAGTGCCCGTGGACGTCTTCACCAGCGTCGCAATCTGCTGCTGACCCGCCTGCTGTTGCGCCCCCGCGCCGCCGGCGGCCGCTTGCTGACCGCCAACGGCCACCGTGGCCGACGATGTGGCCTGCTGCATCTGAACACTGGTGGGCGCAAAGATTTGCGCCTGCGGCAACACCTGACCCTTGTGCTGCTGATTGATTATCTGTCGCTTCATCATGATCGCCTGCATCTCATTGTCCGTCACCTGACGGGCGATTGTCGTCTGCTTCCCACCCACTTGCTTAATGAACTGCGTTCGGGCCTGCTGTCCGGGTGTCACTTGAACCGTCGCCACATTCGTCACCACGCCGCTCGCCGGAGCGCCGCTCACGCTCGCCACGGCCACTTTCTGGCCACCGGCTTGCTGCACTTGTACCGCCTGGGCGAGATTTCCCGTCGCTTGCACAATTCCACCCTGGATTATCGCTCCGGCGGGACTCACGAGGGTCGTCTGGCCGCCAGCCGTTTGCACAACGGCCGCCGTTGTGCCCGACTGCTGTTGTCCCGGCGTTCCACTGGCCGGCGCCGTGTGCAGAACCTTCAGCTGTTGCCTGATGGATTGCTGCCGATAGAACTGGATCTGCGGATGCGACGTCGTGACAGCCTTATTGGCCGGAGATGTTGTCACTGAACCCAGAGGAATGCCCTTGGCGGCCGCCACAACGTGTTGACCACCAGCGGCAGCTGCAGCCATTGACAGACGGAATTGCGCCGCCTGGAGATGAGCTGGCGTCAATCCCTGTCCAAGTCCACTCACAGACACCACCGTTGGACTCTGCGAACCGCCGCGCTGATGCAGCACAACTTCTTGCAGATTTGCCGGAACAATTCGCTGCGCCCTGAGCGCCGACGTGGTCAAAGTGGCCACGGTGGCATTTGGCGGAAGGGCTGTTGTGGCAATCACCGTTCCAACAGTCGGCAGCTGGCTCATGACTTGCGGCACAGAAGAGGCAATTGTCTGCACGAGAGTTCCTGCCGCAGAGCTGGCATTCGACACCGTTGCCTGATGAATGGACACAATCTGCTGCGTCGTCTGGCCACTGGAAATCGTCGTCACGGGCGTTGTGAGCACGACAGACACCGACGAGGGCACAACGACGGTTTGCTGTGTCGCTTGCTGCCCACTCGGACTCCCCGTCACGCCCTGCTGACCCTGACCAGCTGTCGCCTGAGCCGAAGCCTGCGCCACGGCGATCTGCTGCACGGGAGTGGCAATGATATTCTGTCCGGAAGCCACAATAGCCTTGACAATCTGCGGAGATTGCTGCTGCGAGATGTTAACGGCCGACTGCACGGCACGGATGGTCTGCAGCTGAGTGGAGGATTGCACGAGAGCCGCCACTGGCGTCTGGAGTACCGCCGGACTCTGCTGCTGCACCACAATTGTCTGCGGCTGCTGCAGCACAGCCGGAACGGTGATCTCCTGCCTGGACGCCATCTGCTGACTCACTGTGGCCACTCCTGGCGTCGTGGGCGTCGTCAATTCCGGCATCTGCGCCGCAGCAGCAGCAGCAGCAGCAGCAGCTTGACTGGCAGGCGTCAACTTCTGCTTCTCCTTGGTTATCCTGTCCACCCGACGCTGAGCAATCTCCATCGGACTGGGCGGACTGTCGTAATTTGTGATTCCGTATTCTGCCAACAGGGCGGCATGCTTGGGATTCTTCATGGTGGGATTCACCAGCATTTGCTTCAACTGTGGCGCCTTCTTCATCATCACCGTCTTGATATTGTCAAACTTCTGCCTCATCAGCTTCGTGAAGCTACTATTGTTGTCACTGGCGTACAACTGACTCGTTCGCATCGACCGGCAATTCTTGATGCTCCCCTTCTGCTGGTGCTTGCTCTTCTTCTGTTTCTTCGGACTCTCCTGCAGCTTCCCCTCCTCGCGCGGCACAATCACCGCTTCGTAGCGATAGCGACACTGTTTCGGCGATCTGTACGTTCGGCTTGTCTGATTCACAATATCCGCCACGAGATCCCAATTGGGCGTGTGACCGGGCGACACGAGCACCAGACTGAGATTGAAGCCCTGCAGATTCTGGATGACATTCAGCATTGCCATGTCCTCATAGATGAACCACTCAATCATTCCCTCGGGCTCCACAAGAGGCTTCACTGGTGTTATTTGGTGCTTCACCGCCGCCATGTGAAGAGTCGGCTTGAAGATTCCTCTGTACTTTTGCAGCTTCAGATCGCGCCGCATCTTCGCCAGCGCCGGCGATGGACGATCGAACAGGGAGCGCGGCGGATAGTAAGTGTCCTCCTTGCGCACTTTCACCTGTCGTCGACTGTCCACGTACAATCCCGCCTCGGAGCGACTCCTCTTGTACTCCTTCTTCACATACACCGGCGGCAGCTGAGACTCCGGCATCGTCTCCAACTCATACAGATATCCCAGCGAGAAGTCCGTGTACAGATCATTGTCGTCCTGCGGCGGAGTCGGTGGACACCACATCTGGGGAAGGATAACAAGATTATTGGCATCGCTTATTGAGACTTGAGCGAGAGACTAGAGAAAATTGATCACAGAAAAGAAAAGAATGGAAGGAATTTGTATGAAGTTCTCTTCATTGTTAGATTGGAAAATGTCTCTCACAGTCGAGGAAAGGACAACAATCTAACACTCTACTTACCGGCATTAAGTCACCCGTTTTATCGGATATCCAAATCTGAACACGGAGGAGAGAAAAAGATAGAATTAAGTACTGCCACTCAATCACTTAAGATCAAATTTGTTTTGGTGAGAATTTTTCTACCACACACAAAAAATCCAATCACAAATCGTCAAATTTTTCCCATCTTTTCACAAGAAAAAGAACGGAAAAAACAGGAAAATTTGCCGATTGTGATTGTTGGAAGTTATGAAAAATTCTCCAAATCACCTTGCCGCTGTGCTGTTTCACATTTCAACGCCCCAAAATAACTATTTATGTATTTTTTTTCATATTAATTCTGTCTTCTTTTACAACAGAGTTTGGAATGGCAAGGCTGTTTTGGTGCCAAAGTATCTCAAAAATGCTAAAAATATATATATTAATCTTCCTCTTTTCTCTTTCTCATCTCACACTCTGTGTGCGCGATTTGACAAGATTTTAGCATGGAAAACAATCTTATTTTGCTCGAGATCCACCAGAGAGCCTATGCCATTGCCAAACATATTAAATGTTGCAAGACTGGAAATCATGTTGCTTAACAAAAATCGCATCTATTTTCTCTCTTCTTCTCTCTTTCTCTCTCTCTCTGTATTCGCGAGCACAATCAATTATCATTTTTTTTCTTTCGCATTTTGAAACAATTAACACAGTTGCAAGTGTGACACCAAAACAAGGCAATACCAATTCCAAATCCATCGTTTTCGCGGCACATTTCTCTGACGGGGGAGTAAAACAACACAACTTGAAAGCAAGGAAAAGGTCAATTTATCAGTTTTTACATCATATCGTTTAATTCTCTCTCTCTTTCTCTGTTTCTCTTACGCTCTTTATCGTCAACGTCTGAGATTTCTACCCATTTTCTGCCCTTAAATGCTCTCTCTTTCTCACTATCTTTGCCTGTCTATTCGGACATTCTTCCTTCTTCTTCTCTTCATATTCTCTTGCTTCACAGAATTACAATAAACTGCTATAATATTTCTGTTATCATTTAGCCGTCATCTTTTATCGTCAATAGTTGCAATTTACGTTATTTAGACAATAATGTTGTTATGTCCTCACGCCCCCATTTCATCCCCTCCCCACAAATATGAAGACACAATTCACACTATACAAACGCATCCTTCCCATGCAATTCCCTCCCTCAAAGGGACGACTCTGACATGATTCCTGACCCACAAATCAGTTCAGTTGTTACTTGGCGCATTTCCTGCCACTCTTCACGCCAACCTGTCACGACGGGCCGCCGTCCATGTGCGCCCTCATCACGGACTGTCTGCGCGTGAGACGCACCGTCGGATTCATCATTCTCGCCACTTCACTCTCATCCACAATCGTCTCACTGCCATCCTGAGCCACCAATCGCGGAATCTTCGTCACCCAACCGTCCAAAGTGCTATTCTTGCCCGAACTCTCCAGCACTGACTTCCTCTTCTTCACACCAGCAGCAGCAGCAGAAGCAACAGCAGCGGCGCTTTTGGGTGTGCTTTTGGCCGTGACACGACTTGTTGGTGTCAAAGAGTTGGCCTTCTTGTGATTCCTCACATTCCCATTGACATTCTCCACCTCCGGATCATCTGTGGCGGTATTTTCCCCAATTGACGATCGCGTCATTCGTCCAGGAGTGTTGCGAAGATTACGCATTTTTGGCAATATCGGCGACACATCGAGTGTCCACAAATTAATCTTCACCGCACCACGTGATCTCGTGCGCGGACTATTCACCACATCAACATGATTCTTCGGCAGATATGACGATAATTTTCTATCATCTGAATTCTTTGACGATGCCACACTTCCACTATCGCTGGCCGGCAGGGAATTCAGTGACGCCGTGTCATTATCATTCTTATTCACATTGGAATCTGTCGATTCTGGAGCATCATTTGAATCTATCATCACATCCAAACTGCACTCACTGTCAAAATCATCCTCATCCGATCTCTGACTACCATTCGATGCACTACTATTTGTCTCACTCCTGCCACTGCTCACGCTATTCTCCTGCACATCGCCGCCACTCACGAGTCCACCACCACCACCGCCTCTCGTCCTCAATCTACTCTCAACACTCTTCTGCTCCTGCTGCTGCTGTTGCTGCTGCTTTTGCCTCTTCTGTCTCACATCCATCGATTTCTTCAGCATCTTCACTGGCTTCAGATTATTCCTCACACACCGCCTCACCTTCTTCTTCATCGTCATCTTCCCTCCTCCCCCTCCGCCAGTCACCTTCACAACCTTCTTCTTCACCATCATCCCACCCTTCCTACAATTCTCCCTATCGCTATTCCTACGATTATCCCTATTCCTCCTCTTCATATTGTTATGTTTAACCTGATTTTTGGCGTCTTCACTAGAGTATGTTAGCATAATATCCTCCTCCTCAGCCTGCTTCATCTCCTCCTCCTCCTTCAGCAACGCCGCCTGACGATTTGCCTCCCATTCGCGCTTCTGCTGCTCAATTTCCGCCTCAGCCGCCTTCAGCTGTTCCGCCGTCCAAGCGCCGCCCGTCTCTTCCACGAAACGCATCGCATATCGCTCAATGGGGCTCAACTGAAATGCACACACAACACAGTCAAGATGTATAGAGGAGTTGTCATGATTAATCACACAGAACCGCCCAGCTTCACAAGAGAAATATTCATTAATATCCACAGGCAATTTGTTCTGTCGGATTGATAGTGATAGGCTACAACTATTGTTAATGAATTGTATTCTGTCTGGCAATCCATGCTTAATCTATGCGTTAATTCACTCTTTCTCTCTCTCTCTTGTTCACAAGTGTGAAAAATCAAGAGAATTTTCCAAAACATCAACGCACAAATCGTCAAAGAGAGATGAATTGATAAGTGAGTATTCTTCATACCTGTTTCATTAGGTGTTCCACCTCCTGATCGGCCTTGCTGACTTCCTGTGTCTTCTCCGCAATATCCTCGAGTGGAATGTTCTCGTCAAACTCCGCCAAATCAGCAGCAGCCTCAGCTGTGGCCGTCTTTGCCGCCTGAACATCCTGTTCGTCCTCAGCAGCGGCCAGAGCTGTCTCAAAAGCGCCCACATTTTGCTTACTCTCATCCGGCACGACAGAAGGTCCCGCTATGCTCTCATACAACTTCTGCTTGCGCTCCTTGTCACGATCAAGGAGCTCCTGAAAGCGCGACGACGCATCACTTCCAGTTGTGTCCACATTGAACAAATCCTGAATGGTGGATGACTTGAAGAAGGCCGTTGTGAAGTTTCCACCCTCAATGGCCAAATCACCGAGAAGTCGCTTCTGATTTGCCTTCTTCAGGATATTCTCCTCAATTGTCTTTTCACTAACTAATCTATAAATATGAACATCCCTCGTCTGTCCAATCCGATGACATCGATCCTGTGCTTGTGCATCCATTGTCGGATTCCAATCGGAATCATAAAATATCACAGTATCAGCACCAGTTAAATTAACACCAACACCACCGGATCGTGTTGACAGGATAAACACAAATATCCTCTTGTCACCATTGAAGCGCTCCATCAGGATTTGTCTCTGCTCAATTCTCGTCGTACCATCGAGACGTAGATAAATATGTCCGTGATAGTTGAGAAAAGCCTCCAACACATCCAACATCCTCGTCATCTGTGTGAATATCAACACTCTGTGTCCGTCAGTTTTCAATTTCCTCAACAGACGATTCAACGTTTGCAATTTCCCACAATCATATTGAATCAATCTCGGATCGGGAAACTGTAAATAGAGAATCACACACAATAAGATATAATTTCAATCAATAATTCCATCTTCCTTCAATTGTTGCAATTTACAAAAGAAAATCAATCAATAGAATAATATTGACTTGATATAGACTTTGTTAAAAACGCAATTTCTCTTGCATCAGTGCAAAAATGAATGATAACATTGAGTCAATAGTATAATTCATTGATTTATCTGATGCACAAAAGACAGAAAGAAGGAGAAGCTTCTGCCAAACTCACCTGTGTGCTCATGGCTGAGATGATGGGATGGAGAAGGATGAGCTTCGATGACAACTCTTCCTGCATGACAGTCTGTCTGTCGCGCTCCTCATTGTAGCGCGACGGGGACGGGTGGGACACGTGCAGTGTTGGCATTGGTGCTGAGACATTTGGTACAAAAGTGACAAAATTATTGAAGATCGACGACAAATCTCGCGTCCTCTCCTCATACGTCTTTATCGTGCTAGTCAAGGTGGTGTCCAAATCTCGCCTCTGGCGCTTCATGGCATACTGGCAAGTCTCATAACTTCGACACGTCCACGGCGCCTCATCTCTCGCTCTGCCTCTGCTCAAGTCAACAATTGACTCTCTCAGATCCTCACCATAAACCGGTGTGGCATCGATTCGTCTCCTGTTTGTCCGACTCAGCAGACGCAATTGATTAACACGCCTCTCACGGCGCGCCTCTTCAGTCTCCGCAACGAGAAACTCCGACTCGACTGTCTGATTGACAACGGCCGGCTGTCCAGTTGTCGGTGGGGCGGAATAGTATTTGAGATGCTGCGCCACAACTGCCGCCAGCGGTTGACTGTTGCCACCAACGAGTGGTGACATCTTGAAGATGGGCTTCGTGATCACGTGCTGCGTGATCTTATTCACTTGCCCAATATTCTTACTCACCACCGTCAATCGCTGTCCATTCTGTGCAAACACCGTCGTCGCCGTGCCCGCCGTCGATGATGTGGGAATGAGAATGTGTCGCCCATTGGAAGTCTGAACAATCATCCCGGCATTCTCGCCAATCACCTTCGACAGATCATGTCGCCGCCTCAGATTGATTGTCGCCGTGCCGCCGCCAGGCGATGTACTATTCACCACCACCGTGGACGTCTGCACACCCCCAATCTGCTGCGTCCCCGACGACGAGCCACCGTCACTCGTGGACTGAACAATCTGCGCTATTGTTGCCACATCGCTCTCACCACCAATCTTACTACCACTCTTCGTCGTCGCTGTTAGGAACTTTGCAATCGGCACATACTTCGTTCCCTCCACACGCATTGCCGGACTTGTACCCACTTTCACACTCCCACCGCTCAGCGTCTCCTGAACACGACCATCGCGCACCTTCACGTGCAATCGCAACTTTCCCGTGGGACACTGTGGCGGCAATTCCGGCGCCGTGTCAATCTCCTCAATCAACTTCCTCGGCGTTGACAATTGCTTAGATCTATGCGCCACATACGCTGTGAGACTTAGCTCTAAATTAATTAACACTAAATTCAAAGAGTGGAGATCAATTTGCTGCAAGAAAAAAAAGAGAGGAAAAGAGAAGAGAAGTGAACACCAAATCAATATGCATGAAGAATAATTAAACTTTTACCTCCAATGGATTGTAATCCAATACATTACACACCAACGAAGCTGTCCAATACTTAATACCATCCATGCGGAATGGCGAAATTGTGGGTCGAACTTCAAACAAATTGGGATGATTGCAAACTTTGCGCAATTGCATAAGCACATTGATGACACTGAGTAGATTTCCAGATGCAAGAGTTTCTCTCGTTCTGCAATTGAACAAGGAAAAGTATGTTGATTGTAGTCTTTTTTCTTTGCACAAATTTCAATTCACTGCACTTTTCTTTTCTTACTTTGCACGACTCATAAAGTCATCATAGAGATATCGTTGACGCTTGGAAAGTCGACACATCACAACATGTTCATACTTTTTCGGCATTTGCTTCTCCACTTCACACTTTAATCGTCTCAGGAGGAATGGTCGCAAAACCTGAGAAAGAACACACACATTTCATCAGCATTTCACTTCCAGAAAATCCACACAATTTATATACACAGTAATTAAAGAAACATCACCTTGTGAAGACGCTTTATAATTGAGTCATTGTACTCTGAGTTTCCTTCAATCATTCCAGTCATTGGATTTGAAAACCACTCCTTAAATTCTTTATGTGATTGAAAAACATGTGGCATTAAGAAGTGCATCAGGGACCAGAGTTCCATTAAATTATTCTGCAATGGTGTTCCCGTAAGTAGAAGTCGTCTGAAAAAGCAAACACACAATTATGTTAATATATTCTCAACTCTCTTTCTCTCTCTCTCTCTTTACTCACTGTTCTGTTTGGAAGTTGAGCAACAATTGCCAACGTTGTGACTTGAAATTCTTAATATTTTGTGCCTCATCAAGTATAAGATATTTCCATTTCTTCCTCCTGAAGCTCTGATGATCTTGTATGACAAGTTTATATGATGTTATACAAATGTGAAATGCATTCGCCTTTGTCCATCCAATCCTCTTGGCCTTTCGCTCCTTCTGATTACCATAATATGTGAGAATCTTGAATCCCGGACACCACTTTTTGAACTCCATCTCCCAATTAAGCATCACAGATGACGGAACAATAATCAAGTGAGGACCCCAATTTCCTGCAAAACATATTAACCATTAAAATTCACACAGAAGAAGAACAATAAATGAATGAAAAACTCACCCTTGCAACAAGCCAAATGGGCGAGAAGTGAAATAGTCTGGATGGTTTTTCCCAAGCCCATTTCATCAGCCAGAATACCATTCAATTTCCTATCATGCATCGTGACGAGCCAATCCAATCCAATGTGCTATTCAGAAGGAAAAAAAATAATATCATCCCATCAATTAATATCCCTTTATCAGGACATTAAAACTCACCTGATATTCTCTGAGGGTGTGCTTGAGTAAAAATGGCACTTCTGTGACAACATTCGTCGACGACAGTGTATTTCCCTTCGGTTGAATACTCTCAGCAATCGCGGCGGCATCATCAATCAACTGATCTTTGTTGTTTCCGCCGCCATCCTCATTGAATAAATTCTGTAGACTTAAGCCATCGTCCTTCGGCTCATCCTCCTCACTTTCCTCCTCCTCCTCTTCGCTCTCATTCTCCGACTTGTCATCTGAACCTTCATCATCTGATGCTACAAGAAATCAAACACAAAACACACACAACAAACATTTAGTCAAATTTCTCAATATCACACAAATTCTTCTCTATTAACTCACTCTCATCATCATCATCGTCCGAATCCACTTCCATCTTCTCCGCCTTTGACAAGGTCTTATATTTCGCCATGAGATCCTCAATGCTCATTTCATTGTCAGCCTAAGAAGAAAAAGAGTCCCAAAAATAGTCATATCAATAAAATTGCGCCTTGAGCAAATATTTATCTCAAATATCATCCCACCTCAAGTTCGGCAATTTCCTTCTTATGATCCTTGTTCTTCTCCTTATTCTCCTGCTCCATTATTGATTCCTCATCGTCCGTACTCGAGGCGGTGGCTTTAAACTCCTCATCGCCCGAACTCTCCATCTTCTCATCCTCACGCCCACCATTGTCATCGTCATCTGAGAGAACGATATTTTCCCGATTCTTCAGATAATCCTTTGGCAACTCCTTCAGGAAATCATCGAAATCCATCTCAGATTCACGCTGTAGGGCAAGAATTTCCTCATTCACACACGTTGCCTCAGCTTCAGCCTTTGCAATTGTCTCCTCATCGTCATCCGACAATTCATTTCCCGGAGAAAATTCATCTGCAAAGAGAGAAAAACAGAAAAAAACCATTGAATCTCTTTCTCTCTCCATCTATTCAGAGAAAAGCACAAACCATCAGATTGTGCTGAACGCTTTGGCGATGAGATGCGACTGGAATTGAGACTTGGCGCTGCACTGCCATCAACAACACTCTTATTCATGCCCTCGGCCAGCTGTTGCGAGAACTTCTCCGTCTGATCGACAATGAAGCTCAAATGCTGATCCAATGCCTTCTTCCGCTTCTCCTCCAGCTTCGTCTGCTGCTTATACTCCACGAGTTTCTCCACATTTGACCAAAACACTTTGATCTCCTTGGCCACAAAGGCCGCTATTCGCTTCAGCTGTGCCTCCTGGGCGCGTTCCGCCCGCTGAGCCGCCAGCGCCTTGTCCTGGAAGTACTTCTGCACCATTCGGGCACACTTCTTGGCCGCCGCCTTCTTCCACTTGCGCTCCTGGGCAAAGTCCGCCGACAGCCACACCATCTCCTCCAGCAGATAATCCCAGTGCGCCTTCGTCCGCGACGGCTCCTGCAGCTTCGGCAGTCGCTTCTCCGCCCACAAACCCTCGCGCTGCAACTCCGACACGCGCTGCATCACGTACACCTCTTGCTTCGCCTTCACCGAGAACTGCTCCTGAGCACCCGCCGCGGCCGTGGCAACAGTCACCGGCGTCGTGGGTGTCGATGGCGCCGCAATGGACGTCAGCAGTGGCTTCTTATCAGGCGCATCGACTCCTGATGATGTCTCAGGTACCAAAGGTGTTCCACCTTTTGTTGTGTCACAACATGAAATGATGCCACAAAATCAGACATTAGTTTTTCACAAGTCACACGAGAAAATACAACACAAAAAAGACAGTCAAAAGAAGAAAAATCAATGGTTATAAAGTATAATCAGACAAATGCCTCATTTCACATCAAACATAAAATGTGAAGAATTTCTCAAGAATAGAGAAAAATATCACAATCAGTTGACATTTATCATCATTTTATATATGTATAAATATATATATGAAAATTGTTGGGTTGGTGTCGATGGAAAGGATATTGATTACTAATCAATCCCTTTCATCATTCTTTCTTTCTTTCTTTTGTATTTCCACTCTTTTTTTATTTTTTTAAACATGTAATCATTGGAGAATTGCGCAAATTTACAGATCTCTCGCTCTCTCACAATATTGAAACGTTCTCTCTCTCTCTTCTCTCTCGCTCTTTCTCTCTCTTTTGCTCTATAATATAGTTTTTTTTTCTAATGAATGTATTTTGAAAAGCATTAAATTTTCATGCGAGAATTTTCAGCAAAGAATCTTCACTAAAATAATAATAATAATAATAATAACTAAAATATAACGAAAAAAGACTCTCAACAACAGAGAGCAAATGAAAATCCAAATTCATGCTACATAATTTTTGAAGACCAAAAAAAAACAAAAAGAAAAACACTTTTGCAAAAAGATATATTGACACGACACTTAGATAAAGACAAAAAAAGAAGATGATGAGATCAAATAAGAGAAACTAAATTTAAAAAAAAAATGAGAAAATCAATTGAACAAATCTTGGAAAAAGAAAAGAATGAGAATGACTTTAAGGGTGCTACCTGGCACCAGAGGAATCGATAAATTGCCTTGTGTTGTAGGAACCGGAATTTGGCCAAACACCATCCCGTGACGACCCCCCTGGGGTCTTCCGGGTATATGACCTATGGAAGGGAAAAGAGAATCAAGTCGGCAAGTTGCATTTTTGCCCTCCGTTTTTCACCAATTTTTATCCGCCACAAAATATTTTTGTGTGTCTTTTTTTTATCTTTTCTTTTCTTTGCTATCATTCTCATTTCCAAACACGCTCGAAGGGGTGAATCGAAAACTATGAAAAGTCAGTTTTTACATCTTATGTATTTTTGAAAAGCTCTTTATGAGACAATTGTATAAAATGTTATTCATTCAAAAAGCACAAATGATTGAAATTATCATGTTTTGCGACATTAAAGTATAAAAAGTCAACTATTCATTGTTCAAAATCGTCTCAAATTGCTGTCAAACGTATAAAACGCCTTTTTGTGAAATGATTTTACATTTTTTAAATTAATCACAAAGTGTTTTTCAGACTTTGAATGAATATTTCTCATATCTTTTAATTTTTGTCACTTGAAAACCCCAAAGAAATGTTCATGAAATGTATGAAAAGTTAATTTTTTAACTTGTTTGGATAAAATAGACAAGAAAGATGAATAAAAATCAACTTTGGAAAAGTAATTGTTTCAGTTTTTCTATTATTTTTGCCATTTTTCAGTCAAATATTCCAATAAATACTAACAAAATTAGTTTGTTTTTATGATCTTGAAGTAAATTTAATAAATTATTTCACTACGAAATTAACGTTAAATTTTCAACTCGCTCTTTCTTTTGAAAAAACATGATAATTTTGACCTTTCATCATTTTCAATTCACCCGTCGAAACAGTGTTTTTTTTATTTACTCTTCAACTCTTTTTGTCAGTCAATAAACATTACTATTCCTAATTTTTCTTTTACAAATTTTATAAAATAGCACAAAATATATATATTTATATAAATTGTAGAACCAATAGAACAACGAACTCCACATTTCAAGTTAATGCTTCTCTCTCTCTGTCTCTCTATCTTCGTTTCTGTTCACATTCTTGTTTCTGTTTTTTTTCTTTTTTGGTCCAAACAACATGTAAATATTGTAGCAATCTCCAGAGATTGTGTTATTGCAGAAATTCAGTGTTAATTTCATTTAAAAAACAAAAAGAAGAAGAAAAAGTATTACTATTTTCGCGCTAGTGCTCTCAAGCAATTCACACATTCGTTGTGCTTCTGGAACTACCAATTGCTTCTTTTATAAGTGATTTTATGTCAGAGTTTGTGGCAAAGAATCCTTCAGCGACACAACCACACCTCCTCCTCAGCCATCCCTCAATTGAGGCTAAACGAATGCTTTGCCATAAATCCTTCGCAATACATGTATATCTCTACATTTAGGATATATTTCAATTTTGATAAATGTGCGCACTTTGAGGAAACACACACACTCGTGTTCACGCGTGTTATATTGAAATTTGCCAAAGTGATTTATCACATTTCAAAGAGAAACACAAAGACGGACATTTACCTTGCTGTGTCAATTGTACAACAGCTGTTGGCAGAGTTGTCGAGACAGCCACTGGAGTCACTCCCACTCCGGGAATCTTAATCTCTGTCCCGTACGATTGTCCAGATGAGTTTTGAAGCTGGGCGAGATGAAAAGAGAAAAATAAAATTAGCGAAAACAACACACACAATTCAAAAAATCCCATTTTAAGAGAGTGAAATTTTCATCAGACAAATGCCTCAAGACACATCCTCTTTGAATATGCGTTAAATTCTCAAGAATAGAGAACTTTACACAATTTCAGTGGTGGTGAATTCATCATTTTGTAATTGTTTTGCTCTTCCTTCGCTTCCACACGCTTTGACTTTACAATGAACTTCTCTCTCGACTGTTGAATTTTTGTCAAAAATATTTTCAACAAAAACATCCTTAACTTTGATTACAATCACTACAAAATTACACTGACTAGAGTCTTATTTAATAAACACAAAACAAATTTGTGAAGGTCATTGTTGTGACTATCGCAATTTCATCAGCAACTTCAATTAATTTGTAAAAACATCTCTCATTCTCTCTCTCTTTCTATCTCTTTCTCTTGGAAAGAAGATCATGAACTCCCTTCAAAAAACAACAAAATATCCCCAACAATTTGTCCCCATGAATTATTCATAGCGACTTGTGGAAACTTTTAACAGTGAGAAGCGTTAGAATTTCAAATATATACAACTTCGCATAAAAGCACAAGAAGAGGAAGAAGCCTTACCAGTTTGGCTGCTGTATCATCAGATGCACTTGCTGTCTGATCTAATCTCCATGTTTTGGCAAAATTAATCAATTCCGGCGTCTGTGGTTTCTTTCGCCACGTCGGATAATCCATCATGTTGCCAGACGCTTGGAGGAAGAAGAGTTCAGCCACATGCTCTGTGTGCCTGGCAAAAGACATCAAGAAACACTCACTCAACATTGCCAAATCCTCGTCAAACATCACAACCAAGAAGTCAGCCAACACTTACTTATCCTTGAGACTCCTCAATCGCGAGTATTTGTGCTCCAAGATGCGCTTCTTTATGGCAGCAATACTATCACGATCCTCCACTTTCACCCTCTTTCGCTGTGCACTGAGCAAATTGTGCAAATCACCAGACGACGTCGTCACAATCGTCGCCTCCTGCACAGACGCCAGCGCTGTTGACGTCGCCGTGGATGAGACAACGGAGCCCGTCACATTGCCGACGCCGACAATGCCACTGGACGTCTCACCGGCGGCCGCGTGTGTCCTCAGGACGACACCACCGCTAATACTATTGAGATTGCCACCGCTCAAGTCACCCGACGCCGCCGCCGTCGAGATGAAAATCAAATTGCCCTGGCCAGGCTGCTGCTGACTCCTCGGGCTGCTGCTGCTCATCAACAGGACACGATTGTCCGCGGCCAGTCGGGACATTTGCTGTGGATTTATCAACGCAGATGCCCCACTCACGCGCACCGCTGTACCCGCTGTCAAATTCAACGATCTGCGGTCAGCTGCAGCAGGAGGGGCTGAGCTTCGCCCTCGGGGCCCCCCTGCTGAATCAGCTTCATTCATGTTTGATGCATCTGCAACGGGGCGAAAGCACACGCATTAGAGAATCACAACAGGCCAAATATCTCAACACGAGCAATTCCTTCTGCCCAGCTTTGTTTCCCCCATTAAATTACTGCAATTCAATTCTCTCTTGAGACACTTTAATATCCTTCAGAACCCCCGAAATCACATGTTGTCAATATCTTCGTTTGCTCTTGACTTTTTCCACCTGAATTGACGCTATTATTTTCAAGACTATTTGTTCTTAGGGGGATTTATTTCAGCTTCAAACCCCCGAATTGCAGAGCATTCACAGGTAAGCGTCTCTCGATTGAGCGCTGAGCAATTAAAGGGAATGCCCGCGAATAAATGGGTCAGATTGAAGTGAGGGAAAGTGATGGAAAAGAGGTCGCAACCCTGGAAAATCCATCTCGGGCTCACACGGATGCCATTGCAGCCCCCTTCCCGCCAAAACAGGACAGCTTATCTGCTGTGCGGAAACAAAACACTGCCCACCCTTCCGGACGCTCTTCTGCTCTTTGTGGCCGCTTTAAGTGCGGAAAGAGCGTCCAATTCTTCATGCTCTCAGCTCATGCCATCCGCCCGAAAAAACGTGTTCATGCAATTTTCAACAAATGGAAACTTTATTCCGAAGCATCAAACATTCCCCGTCTCACGAGCGGTGGAGTGTCTCTCTTTCTCCCGTGCGCGCAAGACCATCGCGGCGCGCGCGAAGAAGGAAAAGAAGAGGAACTCCGAGGGGTGGAAGCTGGCTAGAGAGACTCCCAAACACACACACAAGGCGGACAGAAAAGCCACTCGCCAGCCGGTGCGAAGCGCCCCCCGGGCGCCAATGGTGGTAATTTTCCATTGTGCAGCACCCCACACTGAGACTCCCCGCGAAATCCCCATGGAAATGCGACGCCACGGTCGCTGGTGGGGAATTTTATTTTATTTTCGCCTCAACGAGACGGTGAGACATTTTTCAGGGCGGCCATGTTGATGCTTTTGTTTCCGCAGCAGAGAATTTTCAAGCCACCCAAGCACACACCTACCTCGCCTGGGTGTCGACAAATGGGCAGATTTTCACGCTTTTTCCCACCTTCACGCCACAGAAAACACTTTCACCACGCACTCAACTCACTATTGAGCCACAAAATCACCATACACTAGTTGAAAAATGCAATTTTCTCCAGAATTTTCACACTGAACCGCACCAAAAACTGAACTGAGGAGAACGTGCTCATGAATGTCCGCTCGCAGGGGGCGCATCGTGCCACGTCCGAAAAGTCGCGCCATGTTGGATGTTCGAAAGGCGGCGCGGCGAACCGCCATTCAAAAAGTCGAACAACTCCACGGGCGCTCAAAACCAAGTGAATCACGCGAATAAAAGAGATTTTCTTGTATTTCATCCTTCATTTTTTTATTTATAGTGAATAAAATCATACATGTTGTAAGTACTCAATTTGGTGGCAACTCGTCAGTAACATTAACACTATTTTGGGGCACAAAATGTACTTGAATCACTCATTTTGCAGCGTAAAACTATTTTTTCATTTTAATCCATTTCAAATCAATTCGAGAATTTCAATAAAATTCATTCTCCGCATTTTTTATCATAGTAATCTTTTCAATTTATCCTTAAAAACAATATATGTTGTGAAATGAGGTAAGAAGCAGTTGACCTTTGACCATTGCTCGAGCGCAATTTATGCACAAAAACAACAGTAAAAAATCAATTTGATTAAATAATAAGTGCTAAAAAGATTGAACTAAAAATTTATAGTTAATGTTTGGAGAAAATCAAATAATATTTCAAACTCTTCTTCCTCAAATGTTAAATGGCCCCAGTCTTATTTCCATTCATGTATGGATTAGAACAGCCATTAATTTTCTTATGTACTTCGCCATCATCTGAAAAATAAGAGAGCAAATAAATCGAGATAAATGAAAATGTGCTTTGTGGAAAAGGAAAAGAAAGAAATGATAACTCAATAAATCATATGTGCAGTAAATAAACATTGAAAGCATTTTTCTTCTCTCTCTTTTGACAAAAATTTGTTAAGCTCATTATTATTAATTTCGGTTGTTTTCGTTGGTTTTAGAAGAAGAAAAAAAAGTAAAATTGATTATGTGGCGTAAAATCTATGTGAAAATATATGAATAAAAAGTATGTTTATTAGGAAAAATTCCCCCTTTGAATTACTATCTATAATTTACTGACACTTCTATTGCTCCTAAAATTCTATTTACACACAAATCTTGAGAAATTTGAAGGAAAAAAATTCTAGAAAGTTGTATAGATAATACTGCTTTTTCTCCCCTTTCATCAACTTTTGACCTTTTCCCCTCTTTATAAACACACATTTCAAAAAATACTCTTTAACCCTCTGTACATTTCCACCCTCGCGCTTCAAACAGCGATCAAATCTCGTCCTCTGCACACCCCTCAATGATATTTATATTTTCGATAGAAATGTTTGTTTTGTGTACCTTCTTTGGGACAGTGTTTTTTTTTTTGAACAATGCATTGGTTTTTCTTTCTTTTTTTGGAAGTTATTTGCCTTGATGCTGACATTCATTGCATGCATCATCATTTTCACGGGCATTTGCACTGCACACATCATTCATGTTCTTTTTACCATGCAAGGAGCGACAGAATTTCTGCGTCCTATCCCACTCTTCGCGCAGGGACAAATTGAACATGGAGTAATTGGGATCGCCGGTCACTTCCTTGTTGATGTTGAGGAATTTCGGCAGGCAATCCTCAAGTGCCTTGCCCTCGAGCGACGTGTACGTCTCGAGGAGCATCAAGCCAACGCATCTGCACGGGGAAACAAATGAGAACAGGATTATTAGAGATAACATTCTGGCTGTGCGGCAGTGAAAAGGGGAAAAGCATGTGAGAAAGTGTGTGAGCTCAACTCTTGTTAGTCAACAAACTCCAGAAAATGTGTGTAACAAATTAGCAAAGTCAAAGAACATCTAATTATTATGTGTTTGTGTGCATTTCTGAATAACTGCTTAAGATTTAACCCAAGACGAAAACTACACAATTCTCTCGACGATTTCTTTTCCCCCCTACAAATATAACCAAACATAAATTACTAAATTGATGAGTCGTTGCAACATTGCAGATTTTGTATTTCAATTCGTAAAAACTATCAATTTCTGGTGTTGCAATTTTACGTTTTCATAGCTTATATTGACGGCCAAAATACGAAATTGGGAGATTATTTAATACGAATTTCGTTAAAACGCCATTTCTTTCCGGCTCTAAAGAATGTTTTTCGAACAGAATATTCCAATTTCTAACCATTTTCCTCCACATTGACGTAAGGAAATGCTCTTTGGCGAATATCTAGAGATATTTTCAACACAAAGAGTTGCAAATGCTTTAGAAAATCACTTAGTTTCCTTGGCAAGGCTCGAAGGATGCCTGAAAACACATAATCTCAATTTGGTGCATTGAAATGTGCAAAAATGTCCGGATAAATGTAAACAATTTATATTTAGTAACCAGAAAACATCAATATCGACTATTTTCTTAGTTTTCACCTGAATTTTTCAGCTCTTCTTGCCTTCAAACTACAAAATTAATGGTTTAATTTCATGCGCCAACATTTGAAACATTCATATGTTATGAAATTAAAGTTGCAACGACCAATGAATCCCTCATTATTCTATTCCTTTCGCCGTGCCTGTCCTTCAATGTCCTCCGTGTGCATTTCACAGAGCTCACACATTCTCAGAATCAACTGCCGAGGCGCAGAGCAGGTGGAGAAACACGAAGAGCTCTCACCTGGAGTGACACGGCTCCTTGTAGATGTCCAGCTGGAAGTACTGATTGTTCACGAGAAAGCACCGTCTTGTCTTCATGATGTTGAAGTGGGCATCATCGACCTGGTTCAGCAGGTTGTTATAGTCCCTGGCCGTCATCTGAGTCTTCACCTCCACGTACTGGCCATTGGGATGCGGCTTCCTGATGGTGTGAATGTAGCTCCAGTGTCCCTTCTGGCCGCGCTTCCTCAGCCGCGCCTGCACGCGGCCGCTCGTCGACTGCAAATAGTGATGCTCCACCTCGAAGTCCTGAAACGCCGGGAACGCCGAATCCGGTGGCAGAGGCCCAAGAACTGCAAATAAATCACATTCACACATCAATCAGCCCCCAAAATTCTCTCTCTCTCTCGCGCCTTTTGCATCACGCGCCGCGCGACTCACCGTGAAATTTCAGCTTCTTCGACGTGGTCAACAAACGATCGCCGGTGTCGATGCCAACCTTCTGGCAAACACTGCTGATCATACGCTTTATTTTCGTCTCAAAGTCCGTTGAATTGTCAATCACATCGAAATAGGGATGACCAACCCACGCGGCGGCCGCCTTGTAGTCAAGTTCACGGGCCAGATCCACATCTTCAGATCGGCAATTGTGACCCTGTGCAGAGCGAGAGACAAGAGAAGAAAGAGAGATGAAATGATCGCCCTTAGATGAGGAAATTTTCTGCATTTTTCAGCAAATTTCATCTATGTGCTTTAAACACTATTTACTTTCTCAATTCCCGTCAAATATTTTTCCCTCTTATTCACCGAGAGACAAGAAGAATGCAGGAAGGTTTTCTGTAGAATTTCAAATTTCACAAGAATTCACTCTCTTCAAACTCTGTGAGAAAGAATGGATGATTCATCGCACAAGTACTTTTTCTGCTGTGCTCAGCAAGTTTGCTGTTTTTTTTTCTATGCCATATACAAATGGATTTCACCAGTGATAAAACTTATATAGTTGATGACTAATATATTTGTGATGCTCTTGCTAAATAAATAAATCAACCCAGAAGCGTTAAGAAGTTTTTGTTCAGTGAATTAATATTGTTCAACACTGAGATACAGTAGAGAAAATTAACTTAGGACACCTAAGACAGTTTTTGTGCTAAAAATTCGATATTTCTTTCAATTTTCGAGATATTTACCTTAAAACGAAAAATGATTCGAATTTTATGATCTGTTAAATGACGTTGAAATCATGGCGATATCTCAATTCTGTGCTGAGATATTACAAAATACAGAGAAAAGTGTGAAAATTAAATTAAAACAAACAGATAAACACATTAAATCATGAGTTTGGAATGTCTAGAAGACATTTACATCATAAGAAGCCTTGATTAATTGATTGTTTAACGCTTTTGTACCATTTCTTCATTTCCACGAGGAAAATTGACTCAAAATTTCTTAGGTGTCCTAAGCAAATTTTCACTACTGTACAGAAACGTTTCACGAATCGATCATGAAATTGAGAATTCTTTAACGAAGCCATAACAATTTCCTAATACAGCTGTTCTTAATACAACAATCATCATTGTATCTGTGTTACAATTGGAATTTCAGGCATGGAAAAGCATGAAAGACATTCGAGAAGAAAGAATGAGAATCATTTCAGTCATCCAGAAATCTTATTAGCAATTGAGTGCACTTGACATTCTCTCTTTCACTGCTGATGATACATTGTAAGCTGAGGAAAGAGAGACAAATTTTCAATGTTGAATCAATATCAACCGCTCGAAGTGACGTATCGTAATCACTGGGTGTATTTGATAAGAAGTTACGTCCGCGATTGACACACATTTGTGGGGAATTACAGAGTCAACTCACCTCGACACTGTAGAAATCTTCAGCACCATTCGCAGCAGACACCATGTGAACAATTTGGTTATAGCGATTGTCCCGCAATTCAACCGTGTTCCAAGCATTGGCCGTGAGAAGCTTCTCCCAATCCTCTTTTGGTATATCTGCAGATGATGGAGGAAAGTTTGCAAAGTCCTCCCATTTGTGTGTATCAGATATTAAGGAGCCAATTAAAACTTACATGCACCCGCATCCATTATGCCACGATCACATATAATGAGACATCCTCGAGCATTCTGCTTCAGAATGTGTCCCTTCGCCAGTTCATAGTATGTGTTCTCGAGCTGGAGCATTGTCTTCACGAGATTCTCCTGGAATTGCAGGGCTGCAGGGAGAGAAATTGCCTGTTTTTTCATCTACAACTTGAAAAAATGCACAGCAATTCCCCAGCGAGCCAAAATTGCTAAAAACAAAGCAGCTAATTTAGCTGAAAAGTGCTAAGCCGAAGTATTTATTAAATGAAACTCAAGGAAACTCAATAGCGCAATAAACGCAGCAATCTCAAGCAAAATATTTAGCCAATTTTGTTATTGCTTCAATTAGCTAATTTTTAATCAATTTTCTGAATTTTCCGAATTTTTTACAATTTTTCGCTTAATATTTTGCTAAATTTATTGCTTTTTTCTGATCATAACTTAGCAAGAAAACAGGAAGTTCAATTTCTATGAACTTCCCTTCATCCGGTTTCCCCCAATTCAGTCAGTTATTCCTCGTTATTCTCACAATATGTTATTCCTAATATTCTGCACTTGTTCTTGGTTATTCTCGTCTTATTCCACATATGGAATAAGGGTTTCCCGTGCCATAAAATATGTCTTGGTGGCCTAAAAGGCCTGAGAACCCTTCAAATCTCTCACTTTTGAGGTTATTTGCTTGGCGATATTTATACAATTCCCTGAGTGTTGCTATCACGAAGTATATTATCGAAACGGCATGGTTTTACATGATGCGACATCTATGCATTCAAATGCGCATCAGTATTTTGACTGATCGCCGCTACGTTCGCTAGTGCATCAACCGAATTGCTAAGTTGTTAGCGAAAGAAAGCCAAACAATTAGCTTTTTAAATCTCAGCATTTTGTGCTCGCTGGGTCAGCAGAAAAAAAACCCACCTTCATCTCGAGTCAACTCGGAAAACTTCACACCACCACTGAAATTGAAGGAAAAGAAGATGCAAAAGATAAGTCATCTATTGTAATCAATAACAACGCTTCTCTATGTCGATGTTCTAAGTGATTTTTCTTCTGCAGAGTGTTGGATAAGATAAGAGATAATGATGGGGAGACATTGTGAGGATTTCCTGCTGAGAAAAAAATGCTTGTACATGGGCATATATCACAAAGAAAAGAAAGCATGAAGAGATGATTCTAAAAACATTCTTTTTTTTCTCCATATTACAAGAAGTGTGTCTCTAGTCAAAACAGAGAAAAAGTTGCCACTTTCCACTAAAAAACTCTCTCATTCTCATGAGCCAAAGAATAAAAAAAACAAATACGAAATGCTGTGATGAAACACTAAAATGAATTGTAATCTTTGCACCATTCATATGAATTATACTCAAGCATGAAGTGATCTCTCGATGAATTTTAGTCCAAAAATTCGTGGGATACAAATGAGTGATTATATATGAAATATCCTAGAATCTAACAACAGAAAGAGCATTACTATTCCAAGCATGTTGCTGTTCAACGTTTCTCTCTCTCTCTCTCTTGGTTTGTCATTAATTCTCTCGCAGATTTAATTCTAATAGATTACATTTATGTATTTTTTTTAATAAAAGACTAATTGCTCTTCTTAATTAGATTGTTTTTTTGTTGTTGGCTTGCAAAGTGGTATTTTTGTGGTAAATTTTAACCGTACCTCAGCAAAATTGATGCGGCTTCAGGCACTCGGAACACCTGAAAAAATGAATATTGAACCAGAAACGAAGAAAAACCCCCGTCAAACAGTGAGACGGTGTGAATTCTAAAGGAACGAAATATGCCTAATAAAGCTATTTAGTTACTTCCTCTAAAAAAAAAACAGACTCTATGTAAGACTCTAATCAATTTATCAGGGTTTTTTTTTATCAGTTAATCCCATGACTTTAACTAGTATGAAAACACATGTTTGTCTTTTATTTTCTTTTAGTTTGTTCTACCCTAAATTTTGATGGTGATAATGCCCAGCTATAATAGCAGTTTTCTCAGGCAAAAATTTGTTAATGGTTGAAGTAAATATCTGCGCTTCACTACAATCAAGGTCACTCCAAAAATACTGTGTGATCTTTATTTTTGTCATTATTATCGCAACATGAAGAAATTAACACAACAATGATAATTTCATCACTTCAGTGACTTTATTAAAATGAGAACTACTGCTGAAAATATGTCTCTCTTTTTTTCACCCTCAATAAATCATCAACAAAATAAACCATAAAAGTGTAAAATAAAAGTAATAAATCTCGAATCACCCTATATTTCATCAATTACCGCCAATGACACTCTTCTGGCTTCTCATCAAATTGAAAACTTTACTATCAGTCCTCCCCATTCTCCCCGTTCAATTTTTCACCTCACATTCGATCGATCGGGAGCCACTTTGCCACCCCTTCTTCATCTTGGCGGAGTGACTTTAAGTATTTACGTGACTCGAGGTAAAATTGTGTCACACAAACTATCTTTTAAGGTATCCTCGTGTAATTATAATTCCATTACAAACTTCCCGAGCGCAATTCTTCCTCTTTTTTTACCACCCCCAACAGCACAGCAGCAGCACAGCCAAATAATCCACCACCCGCTCAATGTCACATTTCGCCCACCCTCTCAATTGAATTGTTTATCAACCAGTCGAGTTAATTTGCCGTAAAAATTGTTTTCACCTTGAGAAAAGTGGCGTCATTTCGACTTGCAATTATCAAGACGACATTTATATACAAAAATTCATCCGAAACACACATTTTCCGTATGGAAAATCGCCAATATTCTTGCAAATCAATTAACACCAGCCAGAAGTATTAAAGTCTTTGCTCTTCACCGATAAGATGTGCTCCATCGACAGCACTAATCCTCTCTCTCTCACTCTTCTCCTTATCTTGAGCGCTGACGGCGTGTCTTTATTTTGCAGTAGGTGAAAAAAATACACGCTCAAAACACCACCGAAATCCAAATATCCCACCCCAAAAAAAATCCGTCTCATCTCACAGATAAACAACGCTACAGATAACGTGATAACGCAATTTCTCATTACCTTCCATCCCAGATTCTCGAAAAATGTGCTCAGGCGCGCCTGTCCCGTGGTTTTTCCTCCGCACGGTCCTGCAAATATGGATAAAAATAGTGAATCATTTAGTTGTGACAGTGCAAATATCTCTTATCGCCATTAATATGCACACGCCTGACGTGCATCTCTGACCCACATTGGGCGAGAGGCGGGAGAAATTTATAAGTTCCTCTCATCTGCCAAGAACATGATAACTTTTCCGCACTTTGTTTACATCTGCTCACGAGTGGGAGTGTGTAATTTTTCTCTCTCTCTTTCTCCCTCCCGTGATAATGTCTTGCATTCGGTTAAACAAATGTGCAGAATTTATTAATACAGAAGTAAACAAACAAGGAGAAACAGTCATTTTTTCAACCTAATTTATGACAAGTTGGAAAAATTTGTAATTCAGTTTCGTTAGCTTAAATAAAGATGTAGACTTGCAAATTTAAAATACCATAGATTAATTAACATTGAAATGGTTTCTTTTCTAATGAAGCAATTCCCAATCAAACAAGAATTGTAAAAAATATATTATATAAGTTTAACAGAGTGTTTTTTTTTGCTATTCTCAATCACTCTTGTAAGACTTAAAAAGGTGATTTATTTGCTATTCTGCTCTTCTGTCTCACACGTGTTAAGCAATATTACATACTCAATTATATACTCATGTTTTTTCAATAATTTTGGCAAATTTAATACTGTTTTTCCTTATTCATTTGGAATGTTAAACTTTTACGTGTTTGAAGTTAAACATTCTTGTGTTTGACTAAGAAACGCTGCACACTTGTGTTATTTACTATTCGGATTGACACGTGTTAAGCCAATTTGTATCGATTGGAAGATCGGAAACTGCAGAATAACATGCGATGATGAATTAATCTGCAATTGTGGCTCTAATTTTCAAGCTTAAATAAATTTTAGTCATAAATTTACTAACTATTTACTTGTATTTTAAGAATCTTGGCAAATTTGACCATTTTATAAATTTTACATTCTCAAGTTTAATTGAGAATCACTCCATAATTAATCCTTCTGTATCCAGAGTTGCATTGCGAAAACGACTGAAATCTGTTGCATTTTCGCAACTGATTAGTTGTTTAGTCAATTTCACAGCTGCACAATTGGCAAAATTTTATAAATTACTCCTTTATTGCTCAAGTAATAAAACTGTTTCTAGTTTACTTTTCATTGTAATTATAAGGAAGTGAAGCACATTTGTTTCCAGCTTGAGATATTTTTCACCTTGAACTGGCCATAGAAATCTAAGGCAGAACGAAGCAGTTGGCAAAAAGGATTCATGGTCTGTGTTTCTTGGCTAAATAAACAAGATTGAAAAATATACAAAAATTCACTTGACATTTTGAACTCGCGCGCCCAAAAATAGGCCTTCAAGTGAAGAAATGAGCAAATCTAGAATGTCGCATGATTGCAAACTTATCGCTCTTCACCTCCGATTGAGCTTCTTCCGATCACGCCGCAATTGCTGGTGGGAAATGATAGCCGAGCGATTAGGCCTCATTTGATCGTCATCTGGCATTACAATTGCGTGGCCATGTGACAATGGCAGCTCTCAAGCCACGTGCTTCGGAGACTCTCGCTGACCTTGGCAATCCCGAATTATACTTTTCTCCTGCCTTTTCATCACTCCGTCGTCAGTCAGCCACGTAATTTCCGTTGACCCACACACAACAAAAGCCCCGGCGAAAGATATGAGAATTTGGCATGTGAATTTACGCTGTTTTTCTACACCTCCACCAATATAGTCTCATATTCCCGATAATTTCGCTGATTTCATTTCATTTCTGTGTGCATACAGAGCGTGGCTAGCGCGGCTCAACAGTTGACATTGAATCGCCGCTATCTCTTCGCACTCCCAGAGCCTTACTCCCAATCTTTTCTCCCTCAATCGCGCGCACTGCGTCGCGTTGCCAAAAAAGAGGGATGTCATTTATAGAAAGCGTGACCCAATTGTTCCGCTGGGGCCCTCAAACACACCACTTCTTGGCGAGATTGTGAGGCATTTTCATCAAATGTAAAATATCACCGCCACTTTAATGGCTTGAAAATTGTGGGAATTCCAAGATAAATAAACCCCGAAAAGAATTTTGCGCTTTTGTCGCAATTTATACTGTCGATTGTGCTCGCGAATGCGTGGCAAGTTGAGAGAAGGCGAGATGCAGAGATAAATTAGTGAGTCTCTTTAGCTAAAAATATCCCGCAATAATTCTTCTCTCGACAGACGATTAGTGGCCCAAAGTCCTCTCATAGACGATGTCAAGTTCACGGGTGTCAAAGGATTCTCACGCCAGACAATTTGGAGAATTTGCGACCAGACACGAACAAAATGAATAATTTATTTGTCTAGAAATTAAGCAGTTATCTTTGCCATCCCAGCGAGCAAAAAATGCTAAGATTTCAACGATAAGCATTAAAAAGCTATTTGTTTGGCTTTCTTTCGCTAACAACTTAGCAATTCTGTTGATGCACTAGCGAACGTAGCGGCGATCAGTCAAAATACTGATGCGCACTTAAGTGCATAGATGTCGCATCATGTAAAACCATGCCGATTCGATAATATACTTCGTGATAACAACACACAAAGTTAATTGTATAAAAAGCGCAATCTAAATTCTTCCAAAATAGAGAGATTTCCATTTTCTGAGGCCTTTTAGGGAAATCTATAGAAGTTAGACTTCCTGTTGCCCTTGATAAGTATTGAACAATAAATTTAGCACAATATTTAGCAAAGAAAAAGTAGGAAAATTTGAACAAATTGCTAAGAAAATCGATGAAAAATGCGTTAAATTTAGCAAAAAAAGATGTTTAATATTTTGTTTGAAATTGCTCATTTCGTTTTTTCATTTGTTTCTTTAATACTTCGGCTTTGTTGCTCTTTTCAGCTAAATTAGTTCCTTTTTAGCTTTTTTAGCTCGCTGAGAAATTGCGTGAAATTACATTTTTAACACAATTTTAGGGAAAAATATTAGTCCTTAGACTGTCGATTTTTAACTAATTTCCCCCCAAAGTTGTGTCAAAATTCATTGTAGATAACTTTACAGTATGAGAAAACCCCCTAACATTATTGTTTTGCTAGAAAACCCTCTATTTTCCAACACTTATTCAATTTACAAAAACACCCTGAAAACATCGCAAATTGATCAACAAATTTCCCCCAAAAATCGCACTTCTCGCTCCGTCGCAATAGCTGTGATTTGGCGGTCAATTGATCCGCGGGAGAGAACAAAGTCCCAGAGATGTTCTATCTCACAGGAGTGCCTTCCAAAGTTACAAAACACGCTAAAAATAGTTGGGAAAAGTGCGTCACAGCGTTTATCCAATTGTTGAATTGTTTTCCCGCCCATTGCGAAAGTCTCTTGCAATTGTTGCATTGCCACTTTTCCACCCACAATTACAGCAGCAGCAAAATAAGACACTTTTTTTCCCAAGCGCGCGACTGCGGTGGAAAAATCGCGTTCACCGCGTGCGCTAATGTTGGCGGGGGAAAGGAGAAAAAAAAAGACGAGAAAAACGTGGTCGTGAAATTGCGTTCTAAATTTGACGGGCATCGAGAGCACGTTTTTCCGGGGAATCATCGTCAAACAGCAACTCTTTTTTATCCAACTCTGTGCACACAAAGTCTCCGCGAGCACGTGGCGCGAGGCATTGCGGGGGAAAAGAGTGGCGGAAAATCAATAGGAGCCTCACCTCCTGTCAGCACCAGCATGTAGACACGCTTTTCCAGGTTTTTCTCCATTTTCATCCGTCCGCCGGGACTCCGTGGAACTCAACTTCACGAACGCGCCCTGAGATGCAAGCAGATTTCCACCACGCTCCCTTTTTCCTCGCCACACACTCTCTCTCACTCAACTCACACACGAGGAAAAGCTTCGCACGCGAGATTCGCTCTTTTCACGAAATTTAATTTTCACACACACCGCGCGCACCGCGATTGATGGATGGTATTTATCAGAGCAACACCAGTGATAAATGCATTTTGGCGACTTGCACGTTCAGCTCGCTCTCTTCCCCAGTGGAAAATCACACAGATGCGAGACGGAGGCTTTTCATCTCTCGCTGAAAATTGCTGCCAATCCGACGAGGGATGGTGAAGAACTGCGGGCGCTTGAGCGTGCTCGCCGGACGAGCTGTCAAGCCATCTTCGCCGCTGTCAGTCGAAAGTTCGAAAGTCGCCGCGCGCGCGAAGCGACTTTCGAACTCGCCATCGCCAGTCGTCTTAACCCATTTAAAACACCGTGATCTTCTCTCAATGTACAGCCTGTACAGCGGACTATGTGATGTTTTATTATATGTATCACTCAACCATTGTGATGTTGGAAACAATAATAATCATTTGAAATCCAAAAAATGCGCCGCAAATCCAATAATTTCGACCCACGCTTCGGTAAATTTTGAGCAAAAAGCAAAAATTGCAGAATTCTCAGCGCCAAAATGGCATCAAAACACTGGGAGCTGAAGAGAGGAGGAAAATCAGTTGATCCTCGTTGTCAGTCGCTCAACGAATGGCGGTGGCACGCCCAGCTTGATCAGCTCCTCGGTGGAGGAATCCTTCAGGCGGGGCGCATAGAAGTTGAGCGCCTCGATGCACATCTCGGACAGCTTCGGAATCGCCATCCAGATCTTGTACATGTTCGTGGTTCTCTTGATGCGCGTGGCATTCGTCAGCACGTTGCACGTGATGCCACCGTAGATGTACACGCAGCCGCTGCGCGTGACTGTGGCGTCGTGAAAGAAGAGCGGCCTGAAGGAGGACAACTTGCCGAAGCATCGCCACTCCAGAGTGCTCAAGTCCAGGCGCCAAATATCATTGTAGAAGCACGAATCGTAGCCACCAATGATCACCGCCGATGGTCCGTGCGGGCTCTCGATCTGCACGCACGAGTGACACTTGCGCGCCTCCGGGAAGGCCGTCTTGTCGCCGGGCTGCGAGATTGTGGGATCCGGCTTGGTCTGCACCATCGCCCACGTGTTCGTCCTGAGATTGAAGGCAGGAATCTTCGAGAGTGTGAAGGCCACTTGAGACGTTCCGCCGCCCAGCACGAAAATCCGCTCCCCGTCGTACGCCAGCTCGTGGCGATATCTGCCCGGCGGATCGTCCTCGTTATTCTCATCACAGTGATAAACCAACTCCCACTCGTACGTCATCAGGTTCAATCTGAAAGGGGAAATCAGTGCAAATTCTCTTCCCTCTGGATCTGCCCGATCGGCACTGACCTGTGCACATCGCAGGAGTAGTCATATCCCGTCGTGCCGCCGACGACGTACAGGAACTCCTCGTGAATCACCATCGCCTGGCCGTACATCTCTTGCGGCGGAGTCCCGGTCGTGGCCACGGTCTTCAGCTTCCTGGTCGTGATGTTAAAAATGTGGAGCTTATTCGAGCAGCTCATGCCGAAGGGATAGCACGTCCCGCCGAAGATCTGCCAGAGGAAGAGAGAGAAGTGAGCGAATGCAGGAAAAGGAAGCAAATTCCACGCACCAGAATTGAATTGCCCAGCATTAGCATTGCGTGCGACGCAAGCTCGGCGGGCATCTGCTCGCCAGGCCCAAAGATCAGCTCCCACTCCAGCGTGAGAGTGTCGAAGCGCCACAGCTCCTGGAACATCGACACATCCCGATAGGGTCCCGTGTTGGACGGTATGTCCGGATTGAATCCGCCGAAGCAGTAAATCTCGCGGTCATTGCACACAATCCTGTGGCCACTCCGTGGCTTGGGGGCCACGATGCTCGCGTATTGCAGGCGATTCACCTGGTAGGGGCGAAAAGTGTACACGGGAAGGCTCCTCTTTCGTCGAATCATCCCGAAGAATTCCAGTAGAAATTGCTGCAGTTTTACCAACCAGAGTTCGATTAGCGCGACAATATGCCACAGCATAATCTATCTACGCATTTTCGTGAATATTCGCACGCCGTATTCACGAGAAATTACCACAAATTTAGAGAAATACTTCCGCGATTAGGAAAAACCAACATGTTCTACGTGTCACAACTGTGCTACAAATCTGTTATACGCAACGTCAAGAATCTCACCACTTTTTCGTATTCACCCCTCAAAATTGAATTCCTTGTGAAATTCCGCGGAAATTTCCCGAAAAGATTAATTGCAAAGAGTGTAGAAGGTGATAGTGGCAACATGAGGATTTACTTCAATCCATGACAAGCTGTCTGGAATGTGACATCGCAATGCAAGAAGAGTTGAGCGACGAGAAGTAGCGGTTTTTGTTTGCTGCCCTTTTTCACCACTCATCAGCTGTTTCTCCTCCGCAGCGCCCTCGTGCAGAAAAGGTGGGAAAGTGTGTTTTTTGGGAAGAAGGTGACATTTTTTCGCTAGAAAAACTCACTGTAAGAATTTCTTTTGTGTGCCGCATAAGAGTCTCCTTGGGTGAAGATGAACATCCTCCACCTGCCCGACTGCATGATAGCTCAGATATTTGAGCATCTGCCGTACGACGAAGTGGCAAAGAAGCGCCTGGTGAGAATATTCTTTGTCCACGCACGTCATTCCAACGAGCTCATTGAAATTCCTCCTTGAGACAGGTTTGCAAGCGCGTGGACGCAATATGCCAGAGAATTCTCAACAGGGGCTTCATGAAGATGGTTCGCCTGCACGGGATCAACATGAAGAAGATCAAATCGAAGCTGCCACGCAGGGAATCTGAGCGAAGGTTTCTGGCCATTCTGAGTGGCATTTTCCCGTGTGTGTTTCCTAATGAGCACATCTCTCTCTCTCTCTCTCCACAGGAATCATCCTCTGGCGCGCCACGCGGACATTCTCACGTGCATCGAGACGCGCATTTCCATGCTCACGATGACTTATGGGAAGTACATTGACGCGAAGCTGTGCTGCTTCATTCCCGGCAAAGTGATCGACGAGGTGCTGCGTTTGCTGCGTCTCGTGCAGGAGACGACCCTGCAGGTGCGCTCGCACGAGATTCTGCAAGAGCTGCGCGACATCTCCTCGATGGCGATCGAGCACTTTGACGAGAAGATCTCACTGGCGCTGAAGAAGACCTTCATCGAGACGACAAAGCAGCGTCACGCGGCCGCGCCCAGCCTCACGCAAATCATCACAGATCACGTCCTCCTGACCGACTTCAATCCCGCCCGCCCCAGCACCAGCGCCCAGGACGCCCAGGTTGTGAGGAATCGCCCGGACTGCATCACGGCGCGCCGCAACCGCGTGACCATCGGCAAGATGGAGCAGCGCTACAACAGGGCCATGAACAAGGTGAATCGCCTGATTCAGCTGCAGAACAAGCAGGTGCGCCTCATGCGCGCCAACGTCACCAACATGACGGAGATGAGGACGCAGATCGCCGACCTGCGGCGCCGTCTGGACGAGTCTGAGGCCAAGAATCGCGAGATCTCGGCCAACATCAGCCAAATCAAGGAGACCGGGCAAATCCCGCAGAGCGCCCCAATCCGCACGAGTCACATCAAGCCGCGCATGGCCACGATCATCCTCAAGCGGCGCATCTCCGGCAGCAGCGCGGCGCCGGACGAGGCCGGCGAGAGCTCGAAGAAGCTCCGGCCGGTGGAGTGAGTGACACAGAGAGCCGTCTCAAGTATTCACAGCCCCGATTATTTTCTCTCCTCTCCACATAAATCATTATGTCTCGTTAGAATTAATGTAAATCCTACAAAACTGCTTCTCTTGAACTTATATTTTGTGTGTATTTCACAGAACATACGAATTACGCGATTAATTTCAATACGAAATGATATATATATATTTAATCAACTGTAGACATGGATTTTTGTAAGAAAAAAGATGAAATTTACAACAGAACTTGTTGGCGAACAAAATAATAAATTATATCTTCTCAAAATGTACAACAAATCAGGAAAAATCAGTGACGTGCTGAATATGTTACAAAAAGTTCGATCTTCAGCCAAACCGTCGTTGCAACTTTAAGCTTTCATAACAAGTTGTCAAAAATATGAATTCGTAAAAAGGTGTTGCAAGATTACAATTCATATCTTCTTCAATTTATATCTTCTACGAGAGACCTGAAATGTTTCAAACGCATTGACGTTTGGCGTCAATTCATATACTTAAGATTATATATTTTCGAACATTCTTTGATCCTTTCCAAGGAAAATAATTGGTTTCCCAAAGCATTTTCAAGCTCATATAAAGCTATGTGGAGGAATATGATCAGAAACTGGAGCGTAACTTGGAGCAAAATCTTGCACTTTTCCGCTACTTAAAAAGAGGTTCAATGAAATAACTTTCTGACAGCTAAAATTCGTATGAAATAAACTCTCAATTTCGCCTTGCAACACCTTTTCGTTCGCATTTCATTCGTGCCGAGCGGACGCCAAAAAAATGAGAACGTAAAGTTGCAACACCGAATTGGTAGCTTTTACGAACTGAAATACGAAATCCACAATGTTGCAACGATTCACAAATTTCAAAGTCTTCAGAATTGAACAAAACCACGTCAGAATTGAAACTCATCAAAGCCACGAAAGTGCGAATGAAGAGCGGCGCTTTATCATCGCGGACGTCGATCGTGGATTGAGATACCCATCGGGATAGCGCCGGAATCACTGACTGAGTCGACTGAGTATTGGTGATAATGCACGAGCCGGAGTGTTAACTTATCACGCGCAATTGGTGCGAGATAAAGGGATGAATTTGCAATCGAATCAGTGCGCTAATCCCACAACCATGATTGATGGACGCGCGCGAGTCTCCTTATCGGGCGATTGGGGAGCGCCGGATTGTCTGGAATGAGTGTTTATCTCGTGGTTTATTTACGAATTTCCCGTCTGTTCAGAGGTGAAGAGAATGTGGAGGAAGCTGGCGCGGAGTGGATCAGTTGGTCTCAGAGATTCCCGGCGACCGCGGAGTCCGCCTTGCCGGCGCCGCTGTCGCCCCAAATGAGGGAGGCCGTGAGGTGTGTGGTGAATGAGAGAAAGACCTTGTAGTTGAAGTACCAGAAGGCTAGAAAGAGAACGACAAAGAGACAATCTGCACGCGAAAATTGAGGAAAATTCAACCGGAAGCGCAAGCTTTCGAATTTCACGCAGCCAAAAAAGGATACTCATGGTGATTCTCTCCCACTTCTCCACCATGTACATCTCCGTGACGAGTGACCATCTGCAAGAGAGAGTGAGAGAAGGAATTCTGGGCGTTAAACTTTTCCGGTAATGGCAGGAAATTGCAGGAAATGGCCTGTGTTCGCCGCACCTGAACCACCAGTAGCTGATAAACTTCCAAATTCCCGAAATTGCCTCCATTGTCTCAGTTGCCTCTTACTCACGCCTCCGCACAGACACTCACTGAGGCTTTATCACCGGCACTCGAGACACTCGCCGTGGATTGTCGCGCGATAAGTACAATTTCTTCACTTCAATTGATATTTTGTCGGCCCACAAAAAATCTCTCTTGCAATTTCTCGCCGCGTAACTTTCCGCCAGAGGCGCTCGTGGCGGTGAGAATGAGTTCCACAGAATTACTGGCGCTCTAGCATTTCATTCATTTTCATCGGTTTATGAGTAAAATTGAAAGAATCTACTCTATTTTTTACACTTTTCTCCCTTTTCTCTCACTCCTCAATTGCTTTAAACCAGAGTGAAACGAACTTTAGCTGGCAGAATCGTTGAAACTGAGTTGATTCGGTGGAATTGGAGTAATTGGCTCGGCGCAGATCTCTTTCCACAACTTGTCATTTTCTGGGGTTTTTTGTCAGTCGCTGTGTTTTGTGTGGGTTGTAGACAGGAAATTTCCGTGTGCGACAGAATGGCAAGTGAATCGTCGAAAAAGGCCCCCAAGGCAAAGACGGCCGAGGAGATCTTCGCGGAATTTCAAACACTACGCAATGAACAGCGCAGTCTAGCCAATCGGATAGCGGAATATGAGATGGACTTGAAGGAGCACAGGTGCGCATAACCTCACTCTTTGCACATTTTCCCCTCAATCGGGGCGCTTCTCCTGTTGGCTGACGCCACTGCTCTCTGCCCCCCCTTGCAGGACCGTGATCGACACACTGAAGACGGTGGACGAGAGCAGAAAGTGCTTCCGGCTGATCGGCGGCGTGCTGTGCGAGGGCACCGTGAAGGCTGTCCTGCCGCAGCTTACGGACAGCAAGGAGCAGCTGGAGAAGCTGATCGGCGCCGTCACGGAGCAGCTGACGAAGAAGGGGCAGGAGATTAACAAATTCAAGGAGGAGAACAACATACGAATCGGCACACCCGGCGCCGCCACAGCGCCCGCCGAGGAGACCGACACGAAGCCCGACGAGAGCCAGCAGAGCAGGAACGTTCTGGTGGTGAACAACTGAATCACCTCTGCTCCTCACCAGTTTACTTAAAAGCAAAAGTCTTGTTTCACCATCGCGCTTCTCACATTAAAAACATCAGCCTCTTTCCAGTAAAACGATTATACAAAATAGATTTTATTATTCCTCCGTGAGTATAACAATGTATAAAAGCCTTTAAAAAGTCAATGCAAGAGATGTAAAACAATATATATTTGCTCTTCTGGGAGCTTCAGCTGCAAGAGCAGGGATACTGAGGATGGAAACTAGCCATTAGCTGCATATTTTCTCTTGGTTCTTTTTGGCATAAAAGCATATTCGATAGAAGAAAAACAGTTCCGGAGACTTTGGAAATGAGATTATCACGCTTCAAAAGATCGTATACTTTAAGACTGGAGCAAAACTGATAATTAGTTCTGAAAGAAAAATGGCACGTCTAAACAAAAATTCAACATAGAGATTTCATTTGGCTTTAACTAAACTTATATTGACTCGATTTTCAATCCAAAAGTCGTTGATTTTATTAGCATATTCTCAAAATTGTCGCTAATAAAACCAACAAAGTGTCTTTATCAGTCTTTTGTCGAGATTTTAGCGAATTCATCACTCAGTATCCCTGGTTTTGCGGCGGGATTAGGGACAATGCGCGTAGCTGCTGGAGAGAATGCACAGGATTTCGTGGCTGCTGCTAAGGACAGAGTGTTTGCGTGCCAATCACAGGAAAAGAGGGGGGAAAAGAGAAAGAGAAGCAGGACTAAATTGGCGTGGGATAGAATCGCTCGTCTTTCTCATCGTGAGGATCACGATTGTACTTGAGCGTGATCTCCTTGAGATTTCCATCCTCACTGTCGTCCGCCTTCTCGATCGCCTGGCGCTTGTAGTCGCTCTTGCCGCCGGACTTCGCCACCAGCATCACGTCCCGGATGACGATGTCGTGCGACACGGCCTTGCACATGTCGTAGATCGTGAGCGAGGCCACCGTGACGGCCGTGAGCGCCTCCATCTCGACGCCCGTCTTCCCGTCGCAGCGCACCAGCGCCTCCACGATCACCTCGTGCGTGCGCGTGTTGAGCTTCGTGGTCACGTCCACCAGACTCAGCGGAATGTTGTGGCACAGCGGAATGATCTCTGATGTGCGCTTGGACGCGAGAATTGCGGCGATCTTCGACACGGACAGCACGTCACCCTTGCGGATCTCATTGCTGCGAATGAGATGGGAGATTGTGGGCCCCACGGACACCACGGCTCTCGCTCTGGCCTCGCGCCGGCTCACGCTCTTCCCACTCACATCCACCATCTTCGCCTTCCCCTCGGGCGTCACGTGAGACAAACTGCCCGTGGACATGCAGCGCACGAGCGATCGCCCGGCCGGGCGCTGCGCCGCCAAGAGATCCCCTGTCATGTCACGCAGAGACACTCCCGGCACTGCCTTGGCGGGATCTGCAATCGCGCACAGCACAGAGAGTTTCAATCCCATCCACAGAAGAACCTACACAAGTTCTATTTTGACTACTGTTAAGTATCTATTTGTTCTAAGTTGTGGCAAGATTTTGTTTTTTGTGGACAGGAGGAGGATTTGTCATCCTCCTATTAGGATCATGGGTCGATTTTCCATTTTAGATAAATTCAGCATGCCTAGAAGAAGGATAGAGCAACGTCCAATGTCTCATTTGCACTTCTGGGACATCTTTTTCTTGTATCTCAACTCCCGTTTCTTCAACTAACCGAAGCGACTAGAGAGGCTGATCTACTATCTACAGTTCTCATGGATGATTTCTGATACTCACCCGCATGCTGCTTCTTCTTCCTGTTCACAGCTGCTGAGATGAGAGCCACCAGATCACCTTCTGAGCATCCGCCGCGCAGAGCATCCCTCAAGGAGACTTCCGTGTTCCCGAACAGACAAACCTGCAATCCAGAGAGAGATTCTTTAGCGCATGTGCGCGCGGAAGCGCTGAAGCCTGGAGTCACCTTCAGGTTCCCATCGGCTGTGATCCGGAGGCGATTGCAGGAGCCACAGAAGTGCTCCGTCATGGATGTGATGAAGCCCACTTGGCCGGCAAAGGAGGGAACTTTGAAGGCCTTGGAAGTGTCATTTGGTCCATTTGGCAGGGCATGAAAGTCCGGATACTTCGCCCTGATGAGAGACAACATATCGCGGAAGGAGACCATCTTCTCCGTCTCCCACTTGTTCCCGGAGAATGGCATGTACTCAATGAAGCGAATGTCGACATTTCTGTCCCTTGTGAACTCCACAAAGTCCACAATTTCCTCCTCATTCAGGCCATTCATCACCACGCAATTCACTTTCGGACGATATCCCAGCTGAATGGCCAGGTCGATTCCAGCGATGACACGCTCAAAGCCCCGGCGACGGGTGATCTTCTCGAACTTCTTGGGCACGAGCGTGTCCAGGCTGATATTCAAGGCATCCAGACCGGCTCTCTGCAGCGGCACGAGGATTCGCGTGAGCACCAGAGCATTCGTGGTGATTGAGACACTCTCCAGCTGCGGGATGCTCTTCAGTGTGCCCACAATCTCGACGATATCCTTCCGCACTGTTGGCTCACCGCCAGTGAGCCTGATCTTCCTCACTCCTTCGCGGACAAACAACTCCGCCAGCTTGAACATCTCCGCATTGGTCAGCAACTCACCGCCAGCCGTGAGCTGCACGCCCTCCTCTGGCATGCAATACTGACACCGCAGATTGCATCTCTCCGTCAGGGAGATCCTCAGATACGTGTGGTGGCGCCCGAAAGTGTCCGTCAGCGTGGGCGACTCCCTGTCGCCCAAAATGCTCTGCAAACGAGACAGACAACATTGATTATCATCCACTTAATCAGCGACCTTGTGCCAATCTCCCAGTCATTCTCTCTGTCCACTCAGCCAATTTACACGCAATCTCGAAGAGAGCAGGACAGCAGCAGGAAGAGACTCACCTTTCCGGGAGCAACAGGTGGTGGATCGGCGGAAAAACTTCTGCCGCCAATGCCCCAAAAGCGACCCAAAACACCCAAACGCGATCCCAACGGTCTCAACATTTCACAGACACTCGCGCCCAATCGCACGGCCCACTATTCTATGGATGGCAAAAAGCTGGAAACAATTAATTCCAGTCAGAAAAAACTGTCCGCTATGTCGTCATATTTGACAATCGAACTGCTCAAGCGCCGCGAAGTAGGCAAATCAGAGGAAACCAGTCTCATGCAACTCCCCTGTTCCCGCTCAAAAGCTTCAGTTGCACGAAACTACGATCAATTTAACCCTAATTTGTGCCTCAATTTCACATCTTTGCAAACTTTTGATGATAAAATCATTATTTGTGTCTCTATTTGATCAATCGTTGAGTCGTTTCAGTTGCGTATTTATAACTTTATCAAAAACAGGAGAAAAAGTTTACTCAGAAGCAGAAAATCAATAGTTTTTTTTTTTCAATGAATAACAAGAAAATACGTCGAAAAGCGTGTCTTCATTGAGAACGTTGAGCGGAGAATATAATGTTAATTGTGTTGAAATTTATTTATTTTTCCACCATATTTTATCAAATAAAGAAAATGTTTATTAAGCGATAATTCTCGCTCTGAAAAAGCCAAGTGCATTTTTTTGCCGTAATCTGTCTTTTTGATGCAATTTTAAGCAGTTTTTTGTGCAAACGCCCCGGAAACGTGACACTATGAACAATATCGCGTGACTTAATGGAGTCAAACTCTTTAAAAGATAATGCACATTTGGTGATACGTTTTAGTATGACTTTAAACGATGGGAAATTCAGAGAGGATTCTTCTGCTCTTCCTCCGTGTTTTCCTCTTCGGGGCTTCGGTGGTGAATTGCGTGGATTGGTGTGCTGTTGAGAAGGAGTTCTGTCGCGGACAGCAGCACATTGCTTGCAAGCACACAAAGTTTCCTCAAGGATCATGCGCGAATGTGAAGATCGTGAAGATGGACGAGGATCTGGTGCGTGGCATTCTGCACAGGCACAATTACTATCGCAATGACATCGCCCAGGGACTCGTGGGAAAGTACCCGCAGGCTGAGAAGATGCAGCAGATGGCCTGGGACGACGAGCTGGCCTTCCTCGCCACTGAGCACGTGAAGCATTGCAATTTCGATCACGACGGCTGCCGCGCGACGCCGGATTATCCGCACGCCGGCCAAAATCTCGGCTTCCACGCCACCACAGGACACCTGGAGCCTCTGGTCAACATATCCAGCTTCATGATTGACGAGTGGTTCGCGGAGAACACGCTGCTGGATGAGTCCGTGGTGAGCAAGTTCGAGAGAAGCGATCTCAAAGGCGGCCACTTTACCGTGATGGTGAACGAGAAGAACAACCGCGTGGGATGCGCCATGATCACGTACAATTACCACGAGGATTCATACCAGTGGAATGCTGTCCTGCTCACGTGCAATTATGCGAAGACAAACATCCTCAACAGGCCCATTTACACCCCAGGATCACCCCTTTCCGGCTGCCACAGCATCGGTAAGGCGCCCAGCAAGGAATACGAAGCTCTGTGCGCTCCTTAAGCCGTCCTCAATCAATTCAAGTCACTAATTGTGGCGCATTGATGGAGATATAAAAGGCATTTGCATGCAGAAATGCGCACGATCATTCTATTCGTCTGCTTCACCAGTCAAAGTCAGAGGGTTGACGAGTTGCAGAGCAAAATCACAATTCTCTCTCTTCTATTCAATTGAATAAAGCAAATTATACATCTTTTGTAATGGAAATGTTATTAGAAGGGCCAAATTTGCCTTTGGGAAGGACAATCGGAACTTCTACATGTCTTTAGAGTTTAGACAGCTGCCCTCTGGCGGCAATATTTGGAGAAAATAATCAAATATTTCAATATATTTCGGCATAATGGAAGAATGATTGAAAATTTTATGGAATAATAAGAAAAATGATTGAATAATCACAATTCGCTACTGATTTTCGCCTTGTGTTAATATCATAAAGAAATTACACCTCAACCTGAGATTCAAGGAACAACTCGACCTTCTGTTCCACACTTTTGAGAGCCAGGAAAGCGTGGAATTGAAGGAGTGTCGAATTGGACCTCACACAGATTAGTTATTACCCCTTTTAACACGGGCAATTCATTGCCTCGTTTTGCAACCAAATCTGTGGGGTTGTCTTGGCGGAATCTCCGCTTGACTGATGCCTGGAGTCGCTTCTCTCGCTCATGCCTGTGCTCTGGGTGTCCCAAAAGTCGGCTCGTTTGATTTGGTTTACAACTTTGTCGGTATGATACGCTTGTCGTAAATCTCCGATGCAGCTGGTTCTTTCTCTCATCTCCTGAAGCCGAGAGAGCAGAGAACCACTTTGCGTTCATCTCAAGAGGGCAGAACGCGGCGAAGGATAAGTGGCCATTCTCTCTGTGGTCCTGGCCAGAGAATCCGCCAGGAAAATCACCGACTCGCCATGGCGGGAAAATCGGGGTGGAGAGCGAGAGGGAGAGAGAGCGAGAGAGGAGAGAAGCCGAGGCAGGACAAGTGGAGAGACAAAGTATCAAAAGATCGGTGAAGATCAAACGGAGTGACTGATTTTCTCAATTCGTTTCAACTTAACTGCTCATACGGACTTCTGAATAAAGAGGCATCGCATGTGTATTATAACACTGTGAGTGCCGCAATCACTCATCCAGAGTGAATTGAAATGTTTCACGCCGCAGAGAATGCCTTTTTCCACGCACACACACACACTCACAAATCCCCCTGGAAATTGTCAATTTACAGCCACTGGCCGACGACGCGGGTGGCTCACAGTCCCTCCCCATTGCCAATGACCTAGAGAGACAAGGCGAGAGTGAGACAGAGAGAGAAACTGCCCTGGCCTAGGTCAACACCATCGGCATATTTCTCACTCTTGGGCAGACGAGGAAGTTTCCCAGGAAAGATCACTCAACACGTGAAGCTACTGTCAGCCACCTTTGATCGTCGCCCATCATATTTCATCCCGACGAACGAGCATTAACACTCTATTTTGACTCGCACTGTGACATTTTCGGAGAAAAATGAGATCCTGGCCAAAGGAGCCGCGCCGTGTAAATAAAGGACCGCCGACGAGCTCAAAGGCGAGACATTGTCACAACAGCCCCTCTTCTCGGGGTTTGACTTCAGAAATCACCCCATTGTCGGGCCTTTTGCAGCCCATCATCATCCCTCGGTGGTCGAGTCAAGGGGACACAGTGAATGCCCAATAAATCTCCCACCAAGGATCTCCCAAGTCCAGAGAATCTAGGCATTGTCCAGTGTGCAATGGAGATATTTATGGTAATTGCACGAGCATTCTTGAACTGCTGAGTGGCATAAAAATGCAGAAATGCTCACAACTACCCAAATTGGACTTTTATTACAACTCCAAAGCAAGTCGCGCGGTTCCCGATGATGTCGCAAAAGACGCCAAACACACACGAAATATTCAAACACAAGAATGTTGGTAATTAATAAACTTTATCTCCCTTGTCTGTCGTGTTTGATTCGATTTATAATTTTCGTAACAAGATAAATTTACAAACACGCCAATCGACGCTGCCGACTTCTTTTTCACCTCCTCGCCATGCTCAGATGCCCCACAATGGCCCAGTAATTTCCATTTTATTCAATATTCATTAGCTCTTGCCGCGATCGCGGGACCAACAGAAGAAGCTCCACAGTTTCTCTCTCTCTCTCTGGCCAGGGAATAAACTCCTTTTGAGGATGCTGCGCGGCGACTTTTATGATCGCCCCAAAGAACGCCTCTTCCGCTTTGATTTCTGGGCAATCACACAGCACGACTGTTGGCATTCCGTCGCACCACGCCAATAAACCAAATCGGAAATCGGATCTTTGATTTCGCCACCCACACAAGCGAGCACCTCGCCGGGAATCACACGGGAAAGCCATCCTCCGGTGACCAAAAAGCGACTCACAGAGGCCCAGACGCCGCAACCCCACACACTCGGCCGCAGACGGTCCAGCAACACCTCCTCGCGTTCCTCCTCATCCAGGGCAATCGCGCTCCTGGGAATCTCTCAAAGACTACGCTTCGCGCTGAAACTTTCCGTTGAAATCTTTCATGAGAAATTGGGTGTTTTTGCAGTCTTTGTGCAGAATCTTTAGCATTTAAAGGCGTTTAAACGTCTAAAGAGGTTTAAACAGACAAAGAGGTTGTCTTTTGACAAATACATAGTCATTTGGACCAAAATGTGAGGTTAAATATCCACATTGGACGAATTTTAATCCTTTCAAACATCTTACAATGTTTAAATCGCGATATTGAACTTGAATTTGCCACTTTCAAGCACAAACCACAAAAAAACCAAGCAAAGTGACTTTATTCTAGATTGAAAAGATATTTTGAGGTTATGGTTGGTTCTTAGCCTGTGTTTTTCAACTGAATTTTAGCCAATTTGATGTTTTTTAAGCACAATACTCAACTCTGTGCAAGAAAACGAGAAATACTCCCAGTTTAAAACACAAATTTGGCAATTTTGAGGATTATTTGAGCGCCAAAATCTTGTTTAAATCAATCACATAACCTAGAAAAGCAATAAAATTGATTTTTCTAAGTGTTTAGAAAATGCCTCAATCCTGTTGAAACAGAAGCTTTTGCAATTTGCTAACTCTTCCTTTATCTATCCTATATCTGCACATTGGTTTTGCATTAAAAAAGAAAGGAACTTGACAGTAAATTGCAAAATTTTCGTAACTTTCATTCACAGAATATCTTAGAAGTTCTACTTTCCATTGTTAGTTGAGGCCTTCTTTCTATAACAGAGTGATCAATGAGGCAATTTATCGGCGATCGCCACACCGAAAGATCAATAAATGTGGCAATTTGTGACATTGGTTTTGTCCCATTTTGTCTCAGCGCCATAATCTCCATGAAAACAGACAATTTATTAATCAGTGCTGAAATTAATTACCACCACCTCTCGCTATGTTTTCTTTTTCCTCGCCGATGTCATGCAGAGACACGTCGGCCGGAGATCAAAAGTCTGTGCGCTGGCTTTGGCGTTTATTGCGTGATTCTCCACTGGACGGTATCTCTAATTAAATTTCAAATCTCTCCCAAGCAACTCAATTTAGTCATTTCTGCTGCGCTACAAGGAGGTCGTGTGCCATTGTCTCGCGGGAATGTCAATTCTGCAGCTGATCAGTCTCTCTCCTCAGGCCCCGAAAGGGTTCAAATGCTCTGCGCGATGGCATTTCGTGAGAATTCTCATGGCGGCCCGCCAAGATGCTGTATATTTGTTTAAGGAATTATCCCTTTTCTCTCGGCTACATTCCTGGGACATTTCATACCAGGAATAGTTGACAAGGACCACAGGAGTGTCAATAGTAAGCCCAGTGTTTGTCCAGAGCCTGTCTTATTTGACTGTTTTCGACTGTTTATTCGGTGCGTGCTCGATAAATACTTAAACCTCATGCTCAAAACAATTTTCCACCCCCTTTGATCTCCGGTGGAGGCGCACATGTTTGTCTCTGTCCGTGACGATGATGAGGTGTGTCAAGAGATGAATGATCAACATCATCGATATTAATCAAGGTGCACTTCAAACGATGCGTCCGCGCGCCTAAGAAATGCCTCTAATACAGAAAATACAATAAACGTAACAATCAAATTCTTGTTCAATTCTTAGAACCATTGCGCGCTCTGTGGCTTCCCGAGACTTGAGTGAAGAGCTTCTCCGCGAACAGAAGATCACAATCTCCTCTCGGCGGAGAGGCTCTTCTCGGAGGATGGCAGAAAAAAGCGATTCCCGCGCGCGAGTCCAAGAAGTTGTTGATGATAATAATCAATTTGTTATACGCGGAGGTAAAAATTTTAGGGATCATTTTGCCTTTTAAATCTCCTGCTTGTGAGTTTTGCCGTTTGGACGGTTTTATCTCAACGACGGCGGCGGGTGAAGACGAAGAGGTGGGGCAGCCAGAGGGGAAAAACATACAAATTCAACCCACAATATTAATAATGAGAAAAATTTATTTACATATCGTATTGTTGTTGGTCGATAAATCTCCTGACTGCTCAATTTGAGATGTTATTTATGTTATTATATTGGCGCATCCTATAACACACACTCCTCTGTGGCCACAAACTCGAATCTCTTCTTCTCTGCTTTTTTTCTCTCCTCCGCGCTCCGCGCTCTGCCCCGTGTGCCCTCCGGGGGGCTCCTCGACGCCGCCACCACGCGGTTTCGATATCAAACACAGCCGAAATATTTGAATAATCGCCGATCCTCACTCATTCATTTCACTTTTGTGTGATGCCCGAGAGAATATTGCGCACAGAGAGAGAGAGACCCACATACGAGATAAGATCACGGAGACTTTTCAATAATTGCCATGGAGGCTGAGAAGAGCCGCCGTCAAATAATTTATAAGCAGTCCAATGAAATTTGAAACTCTCCATACGTTTAACGATTTTTTTCGGGGACCTTTTCGCCTCGAAATTCCGCGCATTCCCATAACAAATTGACGTGGCCATTCTTCTTCACCCTCGTGAAAAATCGCCGCGCAGTAGTTCACCACGAAGGACACTA